TGACCATTTGCATTTAATTCCCGGGAGTAGATGTCGTAGGGGTTTTTCCAAGATCCCATAATGGTTTTAAGACGGCTCTGGTGGTGGGCTGCCAAAATCTTTTGTGTGTAGGGCATCGCAGATTCTTAATCCGGCCTGGTTGCAGTCCTCAAGGACAGGAAAGAAGAAGACAAAATTTTAACGAGTTTTCATTTAAACGCTATTACTTTATGCAGTCAACATCTTCACCTTAGCCAACCACTCCACAGTTTCTCTATTTTCAAAGGAATTTAATAGTTGCATCAACCTACATGCCAAACAAGTTGGGCAAGGTACGGAAGTAACTGCAGTGTTGGGTCACATTCTGTCATTGCTGCAGCTAGTAGCCTATATTGGGCGTAGCCTAGGGTGTGTAAATATCTCAGAGTATTACCATTGCCATAGCAGAATCAGTTCCGCGTAGGGAGCTATTTACAAGCAAGACAATTAATTGGGTTACATGAAATTGTATGACACACTGAACTCTTTTCTCGGAAGATTTCGTAGTGGATGCCCTAAGTATCTGCTATAATCCATAAATTATAGGTATATGACATTTACAAAAGTAATTTAAACTCTGTATAAATAGGAGTAACATATATGCTGTCACGCAACAGCTTCTTCCTTTGCGATAATGTATCTATGATTTTTTTTATAATCTCGACAAAGGAACAAGCACATCATAAGGCTTCTGGTAGTCAAAAAGATGTCCACCTTCGATAAATGCTTCGGCATCTTTTGCATGAATATGACTGTCTGGTCCCTACTCCAGTGAGTCGTTCTCCTGTTGTGCAAAGGAGGGGGAAGGGGTATAGGACTTTGCAATTAATGGCACTCGTCCCATATTGATCGTCGCTAAGCTTGCTTTTTTCTTTTTCGGGAATATTCAGACCCTGCGCTCTGTAATCCTCAATGTTGCACCTTGGTTAGGAGTGACTCACATCTTGATAAGCCAACCCAGTCGCCACTGTGACATGCTAACCCAACCCCAACCCCCGGCACCCATTCATGACCTTTCCTTGTTCTGTACACGTCCAACTGTATCTTTCTGTAAATCTAAAGATGGCCGTGGTTCTGTATAAACGGAAGCATGTTCTCTTTGTAGGTCGTTATTAATATCTGTCGTCCCGATTCGGGACTCAATTTTTCATTATTTTAAAACCGGCTGAAATCGGGGTCCTTAGTATAACCTAACGGTTGAACGGGGTTTCTGGGACCTCTCCCCGGGTGAACCTCAATCGTGTGGTGGCACTTTTTGTCACCGAGTATTTATAGCTTTGGGTTGAATCTCATTCATTCATATTTCGTAGGTCGCGTTACTGCGTTGAATCGAAGCCTTTCTCTCTCTCCCCCCCCCCCCCTTTTTTTTTTCAGCCGTAGTCGATTCTTCGTGTAGTTTTCCTCTCTACCATGACGGTTGGACCTTCAGCTGACATTCTTCTGGAAGAGTATCAATACATCAATTAAACTACAAAATAAAAAGCTAAAATCGGGAGATGTATACCAGCGTCATTGAACACGGTTATAAACCGCAAGTGCTCTGCCACCAGTATGGACAGCTGATAAGAAACTGTCCGTGTTGCCGCCCACACGTAACTCAGTAGCTACAGCGACGTCCCTCCATTTACCCCAGAGTGTCACTCTAGTACCCATTTCCTGGAGGCTGGGTAAACCCCGGGAACCGCCCGGTTTCGAATACCGGCCGTGGGCTGCAGCGAGTCGCAGCTGGATTTGAAAGCGAGCCTCCTATCGACTGCGCTAACGCGGCTCCTGAATTTTTTTTTTTACAAAATGACAACCTACTGTTAAAACACCTGTCGAGTGAAAGAAGTACAGAACTGCTGAGACTCAGCCCTAAACCAAAAGATTTGTTCGCAGCTTAGAGGAGCAATATTTCTCAGTACAGTTCCTGTTTCTGCATTTTCTTTGTCGACACTCAACGTCGTCGTCACTGCGTTGTGATAGACTACCTAAGTCTACCACTGTCAATCAAATAATTAGGCTCAAATGTCTGTCAGACACATGTCCCACGGCATAACAGCAAAGTCTTAACTGTTCCACAGTAAAAAAATCCTACGGTATGACAGAACGGTTCAGGCCGTTACCATTGGCCACACTCGTTAGAGTGTCAGGACAAAATAGAGGAAGCCATGCCTAACGTATGCTTTTCCCATGCTGTTTGTTATGCGTAGTGTCCAGATGAAGCAAAGGTAAATAAAGGGCTGAAGAAGATTGTGCCCATTTATGTAGTCATTAAGCCTCGAACCTGCAGTCTGCGTCAAGTTGATCTCCAAAGGGTGCAGTCTGTGATGAATGATAAGCTCAGCATACGGAGTGCTAATTTTAGAGATCGTCTTTATCGTACCTGACCATAACTGCTCCGATATCCTCCTGCTTATGTCTCCACGTGTTTTTAGGCTAACAACTCCCATTCTGTTATGGCTGATGTCAAGGATGTCCCATTGACATACGGAGGCCAAGTTAGGGTAAAAGTAAAAAGTAAAGATCCCTTTTCACGCCTTTCGGCGCATCGGGCATATGGGCAGAGCGTCCCATATTTTTACAGACCATCAGCACTCTGTGGGTAATGTGGTAAGCATTACGCCGGCTGTCTTAACTTTCCCAGGACAGCCCATCCTGGTACCCATTTTAGGCTGGGTCGACCTGCGACGTTGGGGTAATAAGAGCTAAATCAATTTCACTATCTGTGTCACCTGGTCGTAGAACTAAACTGGTTCTTACATAACTGAGACAAAAAAATCAGTATGTACCACTGCCTCCTCCAGATTTTTCCCTTGTGGGTTAGAGTGGATGTTTCCCCACTATCATTCTCTGGCATTGAAATTACCACAGAATATCACCTGGCCCATGCTTTGGATTATTTCGCTTAAGAAATGCCATTATAATGTGGCTATATCGTACTTCAGTTGCAGACAAACACACTAATTAGAGTGAATGGTTGTTGTGTTACCTGCACACAGACAGCGAGCAGCTAAACATTTTCATTGCTCCATGTAGACATATCTACTAGAACTGCCATGATCTTGTTCGGCAAGAGAATATCTAGTCTGTTTTTTATGTTGTAAAATGCTCTGAAGCCAGTAAACCTTATTTCATAATCTCGGAGTTTTGTTTCTTGAAGAGCAATGATGTCTGCTGAGTATATTAAATGGTCAAGATTGATTTGATTTGATTCAAGAATCGACATCACAGCACTTGGGGCATTCCCATAAGTGCTACGCCCCCATCTTCAGCAGCCAGCGAAGAGTTCCGATACCAATGGTCAAGAATGGGTTGGTTTTAAACTGGCCCAGATCCAATATAGAATTCATGTATGTCTGAACCCAACCCTTCACACTTTAGAGTTGTTTTTGCCTTTGTCTGGATCGCTTCTTGAGTTTTCAACGGCTACATTTGCAGCGTAGGCATGAGTTTATTCCCTTTGTATGGGGCTTTCTGCCATAATCGAAAAAAAATTAAACAAATAACAATTGGTGCTTAAACAGGAAGATCTCAGTGCAAGGCGCATAAGCCCGTAGCATCAGCGAGGATCCTACAGACAGCAAAACCACAGAAAATTCTTCATGCTAGTAAAAAACCAACAATTTTTTGTGGTAAATGACAGTGGCCATGCCGCCATTTTCAGATGAAACAATGTTAAAGATATCTAACGTACTGAAGAAAAATGGGCCAATTTGTATGGTGATCAAAGTCCTGACTATGCAGGCTTCCTAATTCCCTCGAAGGGAGTACATCTGCCCATGAGGCAGGGAAAGGCAAAAAACAGATGTACACACAAAACTCAGGTTCAGGAAAAAGCCAAAAGTCCAAGCGGGCGAATAACCTGACCTTCCGCCGGAATTCACACCCGGTGAATGAAGAAAGAAGAAGAAGAAGCAAGCTTCCTAATGAGCCCGTGACAAGTGGGAAACTCAACATGTGAGGTTAAACATGTGCAGGACATGTGCATCATGTGTCGGCTCTTTGGATGGTGGGGAATGCCCATGATCTGCCCATTTCTAGAACAGATAAAGTCTTATGAAGCCAGCAGTAAGACGACAGCATACAGAGAACAGTGCCAATGCCAGAGCAAGACAAGTGAGGTCCTTCTCGTATATGACATAGTGGAAACCACCGACATACCACACAATGGAACAAACCATCTAAATGACTTCAACAAAGCAACCACAGTAACAGATACACTGTGAAAATGGAAAAGAAGACAGCAACCAACAGCAGAGGCCCTATAATCTGGCAACATTGCGAGCACCAAACTAACCAATCAGCATTGAGATGACGGCCCTACAAACAACATGCAGAAAATCTGACTCGGCAGACATGGGAGGCTGGAACCACTAATACTAAGGAACACACAATGAAATAGCATTAACAGAAGCCAAAATTATACCTAATGCTATCTAGGAGAAGCTAGCGCCTTAGGTAGCGGCCGAACTTGGCCAACGGAAATTGGTGATGATAAAGATGACTGAGGGCCAACCAGTCTACACAAGGTTGCCACAGATGGGTTCTCCAGGAGCAACAACTGCAGATGAAGGGATAGAGGACACCATACGAAAAAGGTCACATCACATCCCACAAAACCGAATAAGGCTAAGCTGGTGAACAAAGCCAGATAAAGGATATATCGGCCTAAAGGTGCAAATATGAGATCTTTGCTATGAACAGGCACAGCCGAATAGTCGCTCGGATGAACAAAATAAAGACAAATGAGCACATAGGGGATCCTTACATTTCCCATTAACACTTCATTGAAGTAATGGAAGGAACAGAAAAAGAAGAAGTCAAAACTGTCTCAACAGGACAATTTAACACATAAATAATTACTAGTTTAATTATTCAAAGAAAAAAACAGCGAACAGCAAAGAAAATGCATATTTGTTTATTATAAAAAGATAAAATGATTGTTGACTAAGATGAAATGGTGATTTAATGATGTGATATTTACAGAATGATAACAGATGTTATAAAGTTTCCTTCCCAGTGATGCCACTATTTGCCGACGACGTCACAGGCTGCTGGACAAGAGGTGCTGACTGTGCACCCCCCAAGACAGCAGCTCGCAAACTGACACTGACATCATCAGATTTAGGATCACCTTGTATCACTACAATTTTCTGAGCAGCTCCTGAGTTGGCAGCTGCCATGGCACTTTGCTGAGGATTGACTACCTTGACAACTGTGTTGATGGATGACTGCGGAACTATGGGAGTTGCGGGTCTTGCCTGGGACATAATGACAAACTTCTGCCCAATACCTGTGGGGGTAGAGGGCAGTGATGATAAGGGGCGTGATGTCAGAGAAGCCAGGGTGGGGGTTGGAGTGAGGAACGGTGATGAGGGGGGAACAGGTGTGCTAGGCTGCTGCTGAATCACAATCTGGGCAGGTCGCTGTGGAGTAAATGACTGTATCTATTAATAAGCATGCATCACTACTTTGGTTTTTCAGAAAAAATGCACAAAATATCATGTAAAAGTTCCTTGACATGGCAGGGACATATAGGGTAAATTAGGCTAGACTCATATTTTTATAGACCAATCAGCCCTCAATAACTGGTATGGTCAACATCATGCTGGTCGCCTTTACCTCCCAGGACTTTTCCTTCTTCTACTTCTGCCTTTCTATCCCCCAATGGAGCATAGGCCCTCAACCAAGTTGTTCTATCCTTCGCTATTACATGGAGCTCTCCCCATCTTTCTAACTTCATTCTCCAGCTCTCTTCTCCATGTGTCTTTTATTCCTATGCCCCTGTGGGTTCCAATACAAAGACATTCTAGTTATGCAGGACTTTACCTGGTACCCATTTAAGGCTGGGTCGTCTTGAAAAATTTGGCTCTACGCAAATTTAAACCCCTTACCTTCGGATCAGCAGGCTCACATAACATTTCACAGAATGATAGAAAAAACACACGATAGTCCTCTTTGAGTCTTGTGAAGAGCAGAAACTTTGTGGACATGTTAGAAGGAACAGACGTGAGTTCTTGGTGATAACTGGCAAAATTAGAAAGAAAAGAGACAAACACCTAGATGGCTTGGCCATATGGATGAGTCAGGACAAGAGCACTGACTTGATCAATGATTGCCTAAGATGATGAACCATGATTTTTTGCTTTTAGAAATGGCACATGATAACCATTTTACAGATGCAACAGATTACCTTAAATTACTAGGATTATTTATAAGTTTATTTTTTATAAGGAAACTAATCTGCACTCTAATAAGAAATGGAGTCGCTCGCTGTCTGAGAAAATATTTAGAAATAATGTTGGAAAGTTATCTCTGTCATCACTGTCAGTCCCATACCAGGAGGGAAAAGAAGGAGGGCTGAGTGCACATCATCTCCCCTATTGATAAAACAATCCTACTGCTGCAGAAGCTCACACAAACGGACTCTTTTCCAGTAAACTAATTAGTCAGGACAGAATAGAATGGAAGAACCAGATGTGAGCGAAAGGTAAAATGTGATGATAATTTTTAAATATTTAAATTAATGTCCTGATATTCTTCTAAATTCATTATGTTGTGAAACTAATAGTATATCTTAGATGGATTGCAATAGTTAAAGAGCTGTGGAAGGCCACTGATTAAGTGAAATTCACATACTTCAAAATTATGTCAAATCTTCAAAGCTTCATTAAATAAATATTTCAAAGTAAAAACAAATTATCAGAACAGTTGGACTGGATCTGCACCACTGGGTGGTGAATTGATACATGACAAGGCAGATGTGATCAAGGCCCTTTGGGAACAAGCAACGGAATCAGTAGAGAAAGATTATTATTATGGCGTGTAGAGAATGAGGCACCTGGGAGCAACCAGAGAGTCTGGCCGGCTCACTACACTCAGAGGAAAGGCAAGACTGACATATAACCAGACTGTGACCGGTACCATCAGTACTGGAACTCTGCGTTGGATGCTGAAGATGAGAATGGAGCATGCACGGGAATGCCCCGAGTGCTGTGATGTCAATACTTGACTCAAAAGTAAATAGATATTCTGAGAACAAATGGGCCATATTTTCATATATTTGTGTTGTAGTTTATCACATGGTTACAATTTAAAATGTGCAACCCTACCTGTGTCAGCTGTATAGATGATCGTGGAGCTGCTAATGAATGAACAGCTGAAGTTGTGGCTGCAAGGTTCTTCTCTTTTTGTATGAACATTGAATACATCATGGGGCCAAGGTACCCATAAGCCACATTAAACTCATCAACTGTTTCAGTACTATTGTGGAATGATTTCAAAACACCTGGCAGGTATTTCTGTATTGAAAATGGACAACAATTATTTGATAAAACAATTAAAAAATCTTAACATCTAAATAAAGTTTTAAAACAGCAATAATATGATGTCAGCTTTTAGGCTCTTTATTTATAAATCAAAACAAATGTTAACCCGCAGAAATAAAAAAAAAAAATGTGGAGACAAACAATATATTATTCAATTTATTACCCACCATATTTTGATGTATCTTGTCGGGTCCATTACTAAAAAGTTATTTCAACACATAATGAAGAACAACAAATTAATCCTTTTCATTAAAATAAACAAATCAGAATGTCTCTGGTTACGCTGTGCATCTCACTACCGGAAAATTCAAATTAGCCAGGTGATTATCATGATAAAATTGGTCAAACCTTTCAAATTTACTGTTTGCTCTTTCTATATGCACAAAGCGGGACTGTTCATTTTAATTAAATATTTGGTTTAATTCTGTAGTAATGAACCTGGTGAGATAAGCAAAATATGCTAAGCAGTAAATTGTGTAATGCAGTTTGTGTCTGCATTATTTAAACTTCACTATATGCTGGGGGAAAAAGCCTTGGATATGTTTAACAAAAAAAATTTGTAAAGAACCATAACGACAAAAACTAGCACATGGAAACATGGAAAACAACTGATTACTTTTGTGAGTAATAGACAATTTACATTCACTGAACACATGAGAAATGGTAAACTAGTTCATGTTAAAGCAGAAAAGTTGGCAAGGAAGAATCACCATAAAAGAGCAAATGAAAAAGTGTAACTAAGCATTGAAAAGACAGATTGGCAGACAATTAGAAATCATATCAATAAAATTAAAAAAAAAAAACGGAGGTAATACAAGTGAACTTAAATATCTAGGGTAAATTTGAACTTCAAAAAGAAGAAAGGTTAAAAAAAAAAATACAATGTGCAAAAAAGAAGAGCAGATAACTTGGACAACTTACACTATTTTTGACACATAAAAGAATACCTTTGCTAACAAAAGCAAACCCAATAAGAGTTAATTTTTGGCCAACCCTATGTTACCAGTGTTAAACTTAAACTTAGATCTCTACTTCAACCAGTGAGTGAAATTTCATAACAACCGAGATAGGATGTCTTAAAAAGGCTGCTTAGGCCCGGCTCTCTAGCGTAGTTGGCTAAACAGGATTGCGTGTTGACCGGGTGACGAACTCCTTGTGGTCCAGGTTCACTCCCGGGGGTAGGCAGAAAAGCCACATTTCTCCCAGATTTACGGTATTTACAATGGAATCAAGGCCGAAAGGTTGCGATATCCATAATATCGAGCCCGAGGATTAACAACTCATGGCTTCTGGAAACTAAAACTAACAAACAAACAAAAAGGCTGCTTCAGTAAGAGATTACATCAAAAATGAGACTTGGACTGAAACCAGTCATACAATTCATAAAGAACAACATATGAGATGGTTTAGCCATCTGTCAGGAATCCTCTTGTGCAAACTGCCCCCAGACAGCCATGCTGAAGAGAAATATAATAAACACAGAGCAAAGGGAAGATCATGCAAAACTAGTCATTTCACCTGTATGGACAATATCAACCTTTCCCAGTGTGGGTTCTGTGGCCCCATTTGGGGTGGGTGGGGTAAGCTAAGAAAGAACAGACCCACAGCCTCTCTTACAAGCATGCCGTAAAAGTTGACTCATTAGGAGTTTCCCTCAAAGTGGATGTGCATCTGCCTGAGTAGCAAGGAACCAACATTCTGCATAAAAATAAACCAGATCTGTAAAAATGAATGTGCCCACACAACTCAAGTTCTAAAAGAAGACTAAAGGTCTAGAAGTGGACAAATAACCAGAACTTTTCACCGGTTAACGCAAAGAAGAATATCAACTTTTATTTCCCATGAAATTTCATGGTATTTATTTTAGATTGGGTTAACCTCGGATATTTGATCACATGACCTCAGGTCCTACAGGCAAGCATGTCAACCACTGCATAACGTTATAAGTATTTCTGCAAAATTTGAGACAGCTTTAATAAAATGTTGCTAGCTGATTAATTTTAAAAAAAATATATCATACCAGCAGTTGTTTTTTCAAATGCTCTGCAGCTATTTTATCAACGTTGAGTGCAGATCCCTCATTAACTGACTTGATACGCTCACCCAACATGCAGATATAAGGCAGCAAACATGACTTGATGACCTGGGAACATAAACAAGAATGACTCGTTAAAACACACACAAGAAATTATAAATCCATATTCCTTTCCAGCAGTCGCAGACAGACTCGACTACTGAAGTCAGGTGCAGCATGGACTATAAGAAGACATTTCTTGATTATCTTCATCTTTAAAAACCAATTTTTTACTTAAAAAAAAAAAACATTGGACATTCTTCTTCTACTTAGCGCTCACCGGCTGTAAACCTTGGCTGAAAGTTATGGTTGTTTGTTTACATCAGGATTTTAGTCTTGTTCTAGAACTTGAATTTTACATGTACATTAATTTCACAGATGTGGCTTATTTGTATGCAGACTGTTTTTTCCTCACCTCTTAGGCAAATGCATTGTGACTTTAAAAGAAACGCTCCTAGTCGCCTTTTACGACATGCTATCCCCCCCCCCCCCCAATGGGACAGCGGAACCAATACTGGGGGCACCAGACACTGAATATGCAAAACAGTAAATAAAAAAGAAAAGTGACAGACCCTTTTTCACGTCTTTAGGCGTATAGGGCTTAGAACAATCGGCACAAGATGGGTAATGTCGTCAGCATCACTCTGGCCGCCTTTACTTCCTGAGTCTGCACCTGGTATCCACTCAAGGTTAGGTCGACCTTGGAGTCATGGTCATTTAAAAAAAAAGTACGGCTCTGTCAGGGAGCGAACCCATGATCTTCCGATCCGCAGCGAATGTGAATATGCAAAAAAACAGCATCTTAACTCTTTCAGTTCCACAATATCACACTGAACTTCGTGGTTACTCTGGCATCCCTGCAATTCCACAAGGAAACTTTTACAATTTTCGCGTCTCCTTCTTTAGCTCAAGTGAAGACAATGTCAAGTCAAGCCAGAAGCAGAGCCTTATATCTACCCTGACATCAAAAGCGGTGAAACAGGAAGGAAAGAAGAAAATCTCAGTATAACATATGGGATGCTTAGTGTCAAATTGTATGAAATAATCAAATTAATCGATTTGATGTGTAGCAACTTAAAACACAAGTTCAAATAATAATTTAAAAAATGTGATACTGCTAATAATAAAAACAAGATGATCTGACCTCTGGACCCAACTCGCCTAGGCCAGCTAAAGCTCCATACTGTGTGGCTAATGATACCTTCTCACTTTGTATTGCCTTACTGAACTTCTTGGTTACTCTAGCTTGAATGTTGTTAGTATTGTTGCTGTAATTCCTGTATGACGTTAACAAAACATTGCATTAAAAATAAATCATGATTTATAAAAAGATAACAGAAACTGTTTAGGTTAGAAGTCACCATGTAACACCGAACATTCAAGAAAAATTACAACTGTTACATTAAAAAAAAGTAACTATTTAAAAACAAGTACCCAGTCTTAATTTTTTGCGCAAAAACAAATTTAAAATGGAAATCTGCTTCCATAGTCAGGGTGGAGGGAGATTTTCAAACCACAGAAAGCATCAGTTAGATCAGCCAGCCAGCGAATTAAATGCATCGATGGTCTATCAGATTTTCACTTACTGCGAAATTATAAAACTGTCTGGTATCTTTTTGTATGAGTCTGTGTCAACTGTAGACCTGTACTCATAGTAAGAGTGAGTAGGAATACTTTAAGATGGTTGCTGAATTTCTGGGGGGGGGGGGGGGGGGTGTGGGGCGGGGGATAGACCCATTAACAAGCATGTGGTCAAAGGCAACTGTTAGGAAATTAAGGGTATCAGATATGCTGGGTCGAAAGACGCAGACAGTGCAGCTTAGCTCTAAACAACAAAACTTGTCAACTGCCCTTTCATACCAGAAGCCTAGAGTCATAACCAGGGATTATTGAGAAAAGTCTTAGAAGAATTATCTTTTCACATAGCGCTTTAGAAATAAATACATCCTTAACAGTTTCTGCAGCTTTTAACCTAAGAAACTGAAGGAAGAGAAGAAGAAAGACTTTGCAGTCTTAGATTTTTTTTTTTTTAAATCCACAGGGTTACATTTATGACTACAGAGCAGATAGGCAATCATGCTAGCCAATATGGTAGCTCTCAAGTCACTAAACACAATTTTAAAAAGACATCTTTAAACTGGGGTAGAAATATATGCAGGATGGTAATCAATGAAACACAAATGGAGTGGAAAATTAAGTAAATACATTCCTTTGCATTAAAAAAAACAATACAGTAAGTAACACAGTATTAAATGACTGCTGAAGGCATATTATGATGTCCTGACAACTAAAAAGGCAGTTGTTACACAATTTAAAAAATCCTCAAACGACATAAAAAAAAAAATAATCATATCATCAGTAACAAATCTATTATACAGGAAGGTAGAGACCAGCAATAGTGTATTGTGGACCATATGAGAATTACTATTTAGTAATGTCTTTTAAAAACTGCGGACAGCTAGGCTGAAATGTGGCTTCTTTGGGGAAGTTGGGGGGGGGGGGGGGGGGGGGGGGGGGGGGGGGGGGTCAAGATGAACACAGAAGAAGAATGACATTTTTAAAAAAAATGGATCACTAACCGACAGATCTGTGCCACCAGCCTTGCAGCAAAGTCCCTCAATGCCCAGTGGTTGTCCATATCTGGCCGCAAGCACAACTGTTTACTGACCACACAAGTCATCACTGCTGGCAGCAAGTTGTGAAGCTGGGGGAGAAAGGAAGAGTTTACAATAGAAAAACATGGGCTCCAGCAGCAACAAAAACTTATGTGGTCGCAAAAAAAAAAAAAAGCACTATTCTGAAAAAAAATAAAATTTAATATTCACATTAAGGTGAGAAGAAAAAAATATTTCTGCTAATTATCATGTTAGAATGAACATGATGAAATGCTTGTCTGATCTTCAGAATTCCAACACTAGAATCCAGTTTTGAAGCAAATTTTCCTTGTGGGGGTCCTAAGGTGCCATTTTGGGGAAAATAGGAATAGATCTACTGCCTCTCTAAAAAGTATGTAGTAAAAGTCTACTAATTAGGGGTGTTTCCTTCGAAGCTGGACTGCATCTGCCTGAGAGGCAAGGAACTAACAATCTGCATACAAATAAGCAAGATCTGTAAAACGGGTGTGCACACAAAACTCAGGTTCTGGAACAAGACCAAAGTCGAGAAGCGACTGAACTACCAGAGGTTTTTGTCAAAGTTTACAGGCAGTGAACGCTAAGAAGAAGAAGCAGCAAACATTTAAGAAAGAAACAAGCAACCATTACTTACATATTTGTCCAAATATAATGTTGGGTTGTCCAACAAAGACTTGACCATCCTCATAAGGTAGATCAAAAGAGCAAGATTATTCTGTACAACATTAATATTGACACCTTCTGCGGCAAAAGCCACAAATCTTGGCAGCATTTGGTGTAATCCTGGATCTTGCTGGAGACTCTGCAAAGCTTCCTGTAAAGAAATTTTACACAGAAATTAACAATCTAATATGAAGCAACAAAATGAATACTTCTAAGTTACATTCAACATTTTAAAAAAACTTAATATTTCATTAGTCAATTACTTCTGTACTAGACACTGGACACAATGCGGCAAAATATGTCGGGCAATAAATTGTGCGATTTATAGCTTGAGTTCTCTTTGTTCTTCTTCTTTACGTTCACTAGTTGTAAACTCAGGCGGAAAGTTCTGGTTGTTCGACCACTTCTGGACTGCAACCTGAGTGTTGCGTGCGCATGCGTTTGACATATATGACTCGTCTGTGTGCAGACTGTTGGTTACTTACCTCTCATGCAGATGCACTCCAACTATGAAGGAAGCTCCCAATTTGTTGATTCTTACAACATGCTTTTGGGTAGGCAGTGGGTCTATTCTTGTTTCCCCTGTGAAAGGGCTATGGAACCCTCACAGGGAGTTTTCTTTGCTCAACACAATGTATCCCGCACTTTTTATGAGTATAAGCCAACATCTAATTTTAAACTTAAACTTACTAGGAAAAATTATGCTCTTAAACAAGGAAAAATCACTGCCTTCTCTAATAATGCCTAACAACTGAATCACGATACATTTTGGCTGAGTCCCCTCGAAAATAGGTTACTTGAAGCGTTTCCATGGTTGCATTGTGTGACAATATAATATGCTTACAATCTTCTTTGTTCTGATTGTATCCATATTACAAATCGACAAGCAGATATTGTAAAGTGGATATACAAGATTTTTATACTTTGTTGTTAGATTACAGCAATTTTAATTTTAATTCACGGGAGACAGTCGTGTTGTGATGTGTGTGTCACTGTTTCTAGTCAGTAGTTCGGAGTTTGGGGAACTGGCTGTTTATTACTTTTCTACTTTAAATGTAGAAATCTTACTTTTAGGGAAAATACAAACAGGTAGTTTAGAAACCTTATCTGGAGAATATCCACAGTTGTCAGGTGCAAACTATCTTGTGTTGGAAGAAAACTATTGCTTTCATATTGACTGTGCATAAATGGTGCAACCACACTGTGGATAAATTGTGTCAAGATATTTCGGAGCTCTGGGTAAGTGGTTGAAAATAATATTTAATTTACTAACTAACCTCTCACAGCAAGTCACCCTTTGCCTCTTTACTAATTGTTGACTTACAGTATAATTATATGTTGTAGCAGTACACTAATAATATTAATCCTTAACCATTTGACTTATGCTTCGCGAACACTGGCTGTAAACTCTTGCGGAAACTTTTGGTTGTTCATCCACTTCTTATGCATATTTGCAGTTGTACGGTCTGTGTTAATTTTTGTAAACTGGCTTTTGCTTTGCTTTGCGAACACTGGCTGTAAACTCTTGCGGAAACTTCTGGTTGTTCATCCACTTCTTATGCATATTAGTTACCAAAACATTCGCAATGATAAGGAATTGATTTCATCCAACAAGATGAAACTGGACAAATTTGTTTGTGCTGTTTGTACCTTGAGGATACATATTTAGTAGTGCTACTGTTAAGAAAACTACTCTGGGTGAAAAAAGTATTGCACATATCAATTTCATACTGATTGTGCTTGTTTACTAATTATTAAATAACAGTATAATTATATGTTGTAGTAGTCTACTAATAATAATAACCATCAATCATTTATATTTATGTTATGTATGACATGTGTATGTTTCATAGCAGTATTTTTATGCGCTAAATTTGATAAAGTACAAATGTCACCCCCCCCCCCTCCTCTGATGCAACAATACCCTCTCAGAATCAAAGAGTTAGCACTGATATTTCATTACTTTTGCTGGAAAAACTTTTAGTTTATATCTAAACGTTATTGATGTTTATGTTCATGTTGACTGTAGCAAAAGCATTTTTGTTTGTCTGTAAGAGCCTTTATTGTTATATTTAATTGGCACACTTATTTACCTTAAAAATGACGCATAGTTCATAAAATATGTAGAAAATTAATGAAACTGTAGTTTAATTTGTGTATACATCTCCTTGATAAAAACTGTGGACTCAGAAGGACTCAATTCTTGCACAAGAACGGGAATCCCCGTTTACCTGTTAGGCCTATAAATAGAGAAGGCTGTGGGAAAAATACTCTAATTAAACAAGTGGCAACGAACCGCCAGACATAGAGAGCTATGACCTCTGCCCTATGCTCAAGAGGAAAGACTAAGACTAAACAACCAGAAACAAAACCTTTTAAAGAACAAAACACAAATGTACACTCACTGATCTCTTCTGTTCATCGGGCCCAACACAACTTTCTGTGATCTCCTTGTAGTAATATTGCTGCTCCTGGAAAAATTCAAAGTTGGAAAACAGTGAACATATGCGTGTTTGTTCATTATCTACCAGGCTATATACACAACACTATTATCATTAATTAGCAGGTTCTTTGTAGAAGCTGCTCTCGTCATTGCACGCCCAAAAATTTCTTTCTCTGGCCAATACTCCAGCCCTATGTGCTTTCATAGCCACTGCATATTCAGTGTCTTGTATCCACCTTTACAGAAGTTGGCATCTGCTTCATTTTCCAAAAACTGTATCCTCCACTGTATGACAGCATACTAATCATGACTTTAATTATTAGTAATGGAGACTATAAAAGAAGATATAAAGTTCATAGAAACACAGCAACTAAAACTGATAATAGAACTAGGATGCTCTTCACTGGAACCCACAAGGCCAAAGAAATAAGAGAAAAATCACATGCAAAAGAAAGATTTAAAGACTGAGCTGAAAAAGATGAGGAGGACAAGGGGTTGCAGGTGATGGCAAAGGATAGGACGACTCAACATATGCTGGTTGAGGACCAATAATCATTGTGGAATAAAAGACAGAAATATAAGATGCAAAGTGAAGCCTCTGTATTTTACTATGACCAGATGTACTAGACTTACCACTATCCATGAATGGAGCAGTCACTTCTAACTTCTTCTTTACAGAGTGTGGTATTGGCCACCCCGACTACAGCCTTTTGTCTTGTATAATTTCTGACCGAGGTGTTTCTCTATCTCATTTTATTACACTGTCTAACATTTAACATCTTCTCTCTTTGTTTCACCCCACTTCACTTCCCCTCCAGCTTTAACTGTTGTCACAACATACTACAAGGACAACAAGACCCGAAAACTGAGCAATGACACCCCTAATAACACTGTTAAAATGTCAATTACCTGTTATCTGAACTGACATCCGAGCATACCAGACCAACCTATTCCTGATCTGTCCTTTGATGCAGAAGTCATCTCAGTGTCTCCATGGTCAGGCTAACAGTAAGAGTTGACTGACATAATCTTCTTTCATTGCCCCGCAATCGGTTTCTGCATACTTATCCTCGTTGAATACCCACAAATGCCAGTTATAACTGACATTTCATGAGCAGTCAGGTTTTTCAATTTCACTGTGCTCTTGTGTTTATAATAGTTTTTCCCTGTGTGGGTTCCGGTGCCCTATTATAGGAAAAACAAGAATAGGCCCACGGCCTACCCAAAAGCATGTCGTAAGAGTCGACTAATTGGGAGCTTCCTTCTAAGTCGGAGTGAATATGCCTGAAAGGCAAAGAACCAACAGTCTGCACACAAATGAGTCAGATCTGTCAAACAGATGCAAAAGCAATACTCAGGTTCTGGAACAGGACTGCAGTCCAGAAGTGGACGAACAAACAGAACTTTCCACCAGAGTGTACAGCTGGTGAACGCAAAGAAGAAGATAATGGTTTAAAAAAAATATTATTTAACAGATGCTCCCTCATACCATGATATCAAACTTATATCTTCTCTCTTGTCTCCCTCCACTGTCACAACAAACAACAGGGATGTCGCAATAAAGAGAACCAAGCAAGGACACTGCAAAAAGTAACCATTAAAAGGTCACTACTGACAGTTTGCGAATAGCAAGGATTTTCAACTTCACCTTGTCCTTGGTAATGATGTTTATATTCTCTTGGTTCCCCTTTGGCACCACAGAGCTATCACAATCAGAAAACTGAGTAGCAACACTCCTAAAAAATAAATCTACAAATGTCACTTACAACTGATAATTCATGAGTAGTGAGGTTCTTCAACTTGACTGTGTCCTTGTGTTTGTAATGGTGCTTATATTTCATGCTGTCGGGGTGTGGTCGTTTGTGTGGCCGGTTAATACTAGTCTTTAGGGAAGTGTCTAGAATCTCCTGCTTCTGGTGGTCTTTGGTGGCTGGTGGTGGATTCTCAGGTAAGGCAGGCTGCACTCCATCAATGCATAACCAATGTGCTACAATAAATAAGGTAAAGGTAAACATTTGGGTGACAGCAGCTCAAGAAATGAATTTACTGAATACTAAACACAATCTCTGATTAGAAAGTGTGTGGCGTGGGGGAAAGGGGGGGGGGGGGTTGCGCTCCTGTTTGGAAGCTAGGGCTTAGTATTTCTCTCCTTGTTTTATTGTTGATAAAGACTTTGATCAACATGTATATTTGTGTCAGTGCAAGCTGGGTTTTTTTTTTTTAAATTTTGTCCATCCAGTCACAGTTAATAGCCGAATAGCTTGAGTGCATAGTAATCCAGGTTCAAATTCTAGGGGTGTTCGAGTCTGTTTGTAATTGAGTAAACGACTTTTCAAAACTCAAAGGGTGATGTGGCCAATATCATGTCAACAACCTTTACTCCTTTGGCCATTTCCAGGTACCCTGGACTGGGTTGATCTGGAAGTCCCAAGGCAGTGTCAACATAAATTCCTGCACCGAAGGAAATTAAAATACACAACCACTGGGTTGGCAGACAACTATGCTAGCTCTCAGGTTCTGTGGCTCCCACACAAGTATATGGAGAAGAATAAAAGCCCTTTCCGCAAATATACAGCTTTACTATAATGTTCAGCACAGCTGAATTTTTTTTATTATTTCCTAGTTTTTTTCCCTACATTTCTTTCTTCTCACTATCTTGCACCAAAGATAAAGATACTTTCTAGACAAGTGGTTCTCGACCTTCCTAATGCCGCAACCCTTTGATACAGTTCCTCATGTTGTGGTGACCCCCAACCATAATAACTTTATAATAGCTTCATAATAACTTCAGTGAATATGTTTTTTGATGGTCTTAGGCGACCCCTGTGAAAGGGCCATTCACCCCCAGGTTAAGAACCACTGTTCTAGATGATCCCCAGGTTAAGAACCACTGTTCTAGATGATATATGACAAGAAATATGAGTCATAACAACATTCAACATATCATGTACAAAAACTATGACGGATTGATACAAATAAAAGTGCATGCTAATAACCTTTCAATGTGACGTCACTGGGTATTTTGGGCAAAGGTTCTCCAACAATGGCTTGGAGATCCACTTCTTTTTCTTCAGTAAAGAAAATTTCACGTCCGCCACCACTTGCATGCCGGAATGGAATGTACCCATCTCTATTTGTGTGTCCATATATGGGCTAGATAAACAGAGAAAGTAGGAATGTGATTATCGATAAATCATCATCAAGTAGCAGGCCCTTTGCAGAATGTCACTCTCATCACGGTCAGAAAGAAACTTGGCCTCTCACTAGCTCTCTCACCTCGTGTATTTTCACATTAAAGGAGTCACTCTCTGCGGTGGTCAGCACCTGCTTCTCCTTCCTGGTACCACGCCTCATACTATTATTTTTCTTTTCAAATCTGGTATGACCAAAATATTTCAGCTCTTTCAGATGCTATTTATTAGCCAATCTTCCTTGATGTTCAGATCTTTTAAAATGTCAGTATTTCTTCTCTTCTTTGTCCTTGGTATTCAGAGAATAATGGAAAAATAGCACACTAAAAAATAAAGACTAAGCATAAGCCCATATGTGATTGATCATCATGCTGTTGATAGATCACACAGGGTACTCCTCCCTTTTGTTCTACACTATTGCAATCTTTTTATATCATGGATGAAATCTAGTACAACACCTTTGACAACTCATAACATCCCCTATCAGGCAATGTGGTTGAACTATTTGCCTGATGCTCTGACAGTTAAGGGTTTGCTTTCAGACATTGCTGTTCAGTTCAAGTGAAGGTGTTTCTGAAATACCTGGAGCTGTGGAGTTCTCTGTGACAGTCAAATTAATCGGAAGCAGCGGAGATGCAGTCTTATTGGCAAATGATACGAACACACCCTGCACAGATTTAACACACACACCCCCCCCCCCAAAAAAAAAGTTACGACAATGTCTTGAAAGAAGCTGACTCTCAAAGAGAATATGATTGCACACATCAGAAGGGAGACAATCTACATTCTTTGGTCATGTGATGAAAAGGAGAAGACTGGAGTACATCATGACAGTGGGGAAATTGGAGAGGGGAAAAGTGGCAGAGGGAAGCTGAGGAAAAAGTAGTGGACGGTTTGACCGCGTGACATGGGAAAATTATTTGTGTCCGACCTGTAGACAGACATGACTACCAACATCACATGGTATGGACTTTGGGAGAAAAAGTTACAGTCTCGGTGGCAGACTAATTTCTTTGCTGAGAGAAAGAGAGAGAGAGAGAGAGAGAGACTAATCTCTATGCAACAAGTCTTTTAGAAAACACTTCTTTGTTTTGTCACATGTCTTTGACAATTTCTATTACCTCAACATTTTTCATCTGCAGAGCTGTGTCAAAGTCAGAGCACATCAGCTTGGTTCTTTTGCTGTGCTGTCTCAACTTTTCAGCTTCCTGCGGGGGAAAAAAAACCACATTCAACTGTGTGACAAATGTTTAAAAAAAACTGCCTGCAAATTTTAAAAACATTCATAATTTCTTTATTTGTGAGATGTATCATGGTATGGAGAAACATGTGTGTCAAAAATAACTGAAAGTGCACAAGACAGAAGGCTGTGGACAGACATGACTACCAATGCCACACAGTATGGACTATGAAAAGTAGTAGCTGGGTGTTCTAGTTTGAAATGTTGCTTAGTAGTTAGGGTATCAAGCCGGAGAGCCAGTTTCAATTTAAATCCTCCCTGTGTAGGTTCTGGGAAATATTTTGGGGAAATGAGTAGAGACTTACTGCACCCTAATATGTATGTAATAAAAGTCTACTAATTAGTGGTGTTTCCTTTGAAGTTGGGGTGCATCTGTCTGAGAGGCGAGGAACCAATAGTATGCAAACAAATGAATCAGATCTGTAAAATGTATATGCATGTAAAACTCAAGTTCTGGAACAAGACTATAGTCCAGAAACGGACGAACACTCGGAACTTTCTGCTGGAAACCATCAAGAGGAATCCAAATCCTCTGTAAGGTGAAGCATGTTTTTTTTTCTGGCAGATGCAAAAATAACCACTCTAACCTGCACTGTTTGTGGCAACTGCACTAGCCATAAATCCTCTGGTTCAAAACTTTCCTTAACTGGTCTCGCACAACGATTTTCTAAACAAGAGGTGACCATTGTGGTATATTTCAGGTTCAATTACTTCACATCAATATGAAAGATATACATATGACTGTCTTGCCTAAATAATCAGACCTGGCATGCTCTCACCTGCACAATGAGTTTCAATCTGTAGGAAATGTCTTCTGCTAGGAAAGCTGCTGCTTCATCTTGCAATCCTGACACACCAATAGATTCTGCAATTACTTTTATAGACTCTGCAGACAGTACAGATCCCACCCGACTTTCTTTTTCTGATGCCATATCTGGCAATAAGCTGCTTTAAAAGGCAAAAAGTAAGAAATAATTAAAGGATTAAATAAAAATTCAAGTTACATGTTTCATAAAAATTTAAACAGAATTTAAAAAAAAAAAAAAAAAAAAACGACATACTAATGATTAAGATGGATGCTTCTGTGGTTTTTTGTAACAGACAATAAGAGAACATTAGAACAATTAAAGCAACACTAAATGATCAAATAAGAACAATTTAGCTTAATTCAAAATATATAAAATTGTACATCATCATCAAGTCCGTGGCGACAGCACCAGCCATTAAACCTTTAAGGTTTAAAGACCCCGCCTGCCTGCCTGCTTGCAAAAGAGGTAAATATACACAGTAATGAACAAAAACATCATAACCACTGTCAATTTCCACCTTTGTCATGAGGTAGAAACAAACTGCAATCCACTGCTCAATGGGCAGATTGGCTACTGACATAAACAATGTACATAAACTTAATAGTAGAAAAGTCTACCCCTGCAACCCACAGACATAAGAAATAGAGAGAGAATTAATGATACATATGGAGGTTCTAGATCAGATGAATACGGGGTGACTACAAAGTAATATTTTAAGTCCACAAGGTAAGCAAAGAATACAGGGTCTTCTCGACTTATGACCGAGTTCCGTTCTGACTAACAGGTGGTAAGCTGCATTTTTTAAAGATTATTTTCCATTCAAATAGGTTATAAAAATTGTACATATAAAACAAATCATGCATGCCATGTGTCATAAGGCAACTATGGAAGATTGGCATTAAATTTGCTACATAGTCCTGTAGAAATCTTATTTTTCAAAATCCAACCAATCATGAGAAAGTCTACAACAGGGTGTGACATGAGTAAGGCTGTGGAACTCAGCTAGACTGGAGGATAAGATAGAAAAGAAAGAAAGAAAAAGATTGCAGTTAACTGGTTGATAGCCTATGCTATCAAGGATAAAAGACAGCAGCAGAAGACTGAGGAGTAGTAGTATAAGGTGTTGGTAGTGGTAGTAGTAGTGATAGAAGAATAATAAGAAGTAGGATAGGGGAGAAAAAAGCAAAATAATGATCTCTGCTGCGTAAAAAAAAAATATTCAACTAAAAACAGACACAAATTCATAAAACAGATATGTAAAAATTACCAATTACCTGGTGTGCTTTTAGTGGTGAAAGCTCTGTTAAAGATACTTAAATGGGTAAGTACAGCTAAGATGTACACCCAGCATCACAGATTATTCCCAAGTGTTTCTTTTCTTTCTTGCAAACTTTTTCTGAAAAATATGTAAAAAAAAAAAAAAAAAAAAAAAAAAGGCGAAGTTGAAGCAACTGAAAACATTTTCCTACATATTAAACAATTAAAAAAAATTGTTTATCTTGAAAACTGATCTTGTAGTGTTATGAGACAGTATTTTTTAGTGAAAATGTAAACGAGTATCGCCAAATAAACAATGATGAAACGAGCCAAATTTTGATGAAATCAAAGTATACAAGTTTTACATAATCGTATAACCTGTTTAACCAATAGGTTCCAACAATCAGATTAACCAATAAAGTAGTCAATATTACTCATTAAATAACAGTCATGAATAAGAAGGAGTGAGACCTGAATGCCATGATAAAATCAAATTGGATAGTGCAGGTCATGAACAGATCACAAGAGCAGGAGTAAAAGAGACCGCTTTTTTTAATCAGGCCGTAGACAAAGATACGCAGTACCGGAACCTTTTTCCTTGCTACTGAAAAAGACCCTTTGTAGTAGGTACTGAAACCTTTTAGAAAAACACACTGACAACAGGGATATACCCTTTTCACCATAGTTTTTTTTAAAAACATTCTTGGTGACTTCTGGATTATAAAGAGAACAAAAATTACCAACAGAAATGGAATTCAATGGACAGAGCAGAGCAGCTCACTATTTTGTTGAAATTTCCTTCATGTTTGCACATGAAATCCAATTCAAGATTTACCTAATCTGATCTGCTTTTACGTAGAAACATAAAGAAAGATGGGGGGGGGGGGGGGGGAGAGAGAGAATTATAATACACACAAAAAAGCAAGAGGATACTTCATAGCAATGTGAAATTTGTGAAAATGGAAATTACTAACAGTAACTCATGGAACAGACTAAACAAATTTAAATGAATCAAGATGTGAGAATAAAATAGTAACATTAAAAGTTAAAAACTATTTTTTTTTTTAAAGTCTGCTAAAAATAAAAACACAGAAAAAAGGAGAATCAGAGATATGAATGCAGAGGAAAGGCACAGAGTTGCAGAAGATGGCAAATATAAGAATAAATCAGTTGAAGGTTTATGCTCCATGGGCTGGGGAAGTAAAAGACATAAAAAATATGAATTATTTGTAAAAACATGGAAAAGGAGAACTTCAAGTCTACTGACTGCACTAGCTAGGTGCTGACTGTCATTGATCTTATTTTTAACATTTTGTTTACAATTTTAACTGTTAATAAATGATGCTGGTACTGTGTCTTTGTTTATCAAGAAACACGAATTTAATAAGCATATATAAATGCTTGTATCACAACAGTGAATGTATTTAATGTCAGAACAATTGGAGGACACTCAGAACCATTCACCATAAAATCTGAAATATGACAGGGCTGTGTCCTGTCTCCCCTTCTCTTCACTGATAATATTTGAAAAGAAACCAACTAAACAAGGACTATAATTTAACAATGAGTTGAAGATCCAAAGCCAAACAGTTTCACCAAAGAACTACTATTTGCAGATGACCCAAGCACTAATTGCTACTTCAGAAACTGAACTGCAAGACCGTATAAATTATTTAAACCAAATTTGCAAAGAGCGTATCATGAAAATCATCACAACAAAACAGAGGTTATGACCACTGTCAAAACAATAAATATTTAGCTTACAGAACACTCTCTGAAACAAACCAAGAACTTCAAATACTTAGAAAGCATAATATCACCAGCTGGCAAAACGGAATATGAGATCGATGACAGATGTAACAAAGCAAACCAACACTAAGCTACAAACATGTATCAATAGAAACCAAAACAGAACTCTGACACTAACACAATCTTCTTGCCAACCATCAATACGAGAAATAGAGAAGAGAAAAATTACAAGTGAAATGAGATTCCTGCTATGAAAGGCTCTCAATCTTACAATAAGAGATAAGATCAGAAAATGATAAAATATGAAGGGAAATGGGAGTAGCAACAACACTGAATTTCATTAGAAGACTAAGATAAAAGGTAAAATGGTTTGGCCATACAACACAGATATCAGCAGACAGTATACCACAGCAAGCCATAGTGTACAATCAAATCAGATAAGAAGCGAAGAAGATGCCAATCATGTAAGTATTGTTACTGTAAGCAATCAGCAATGGACACTGGGAAATACAGAGTTCAGTCACTGGAAATCCCAAATTTTAGAAGAATACAAACGCCATGATCTTCTATAAATTGATAATTATAGTATAAACTGTATAAATTATACTACATACATACTTCACTTCGACACCGCAAGGTACACGATGATCAAAATAAGACGAGATTGTGTAGTTTTTTGTATGTCGGAATTCTTCTGACGCATTTCATTGCATGAAGCTAAACTACAAACTGTAAACACAATTTCTATTTTTTAAAAAGCAGTGCCACAATCAATACAACATTTTAAAATGCTGCACTCACTTTTTGCAATATTATAAGAACTCGAGAAAAGCAAATAACAGAAAAATCAAAAGCGTTGACAATGTTATTCCCTCACAGAAATGTCTACTTCCGGAAATTCGGAATTTTATATTACCGCTCTTAAGAGATCAATTATAAAAAAATAATTATTAATCCTGCTATTAGAGTAATTTAACAAAAAATAAATCATCGCTTTTACGAGAAACATAATTTATTTACACATTTATTATATTATCAAATCTAATAAAACTAGAAATTAAAATTTTACTGACAAAAATAGGTAACATTGGATTGTAAACAATCCAGTGCTTCTTTATACTTTTCTTTTGTAGAGATTTCAGAAAAGTCAGCTGACGGCTGTCGGAGTTTTCGCAAACTAAATTATTTTAGTTTTGATAAAAGAAAATTTTTACCTAGTGATAACATGGTCGGACAATAAATGTAAACCTACCAGCCAGTTTAAAAACAAACGTTCAGGACCCTCGAGAATATGATTAGCTGTAGATATATTGTGTAAAAGAAAATGTATGGACTTTTTGAATTTGTCAGACTGTTGACAGTGAACCCTCAACAGTCCCGGCAAACTCGAAGAAAGATTGATATCAAGAAGTTCGCATGGAAGGAAGAAGGAGAAGTCAGTTTGTTGGCACTGATGTGCTCAAACGGTATATATAACTGTTTTTGTATTTATGATAATAATAATAATATTAATTGTTCTGATGAGATCCAAAAGTCTTTACTTAAAAACAACCTTGTTAATAATTATTAAAATAATATAATTATAATAATTCTTTTTTTTGTCAATAATATTTATCACAATGCTTATGCCGTTCCGTTAGGCGATCGACAGGACAGCCGAGCTAGGGCGCGCTCGGTCTCTCGATATGCCATAATGTTATGCAGTCTCAAGGTGTCAGTGGCTCCTTCAATCCATCTTGTTCGCAGTCTTTCCCTGTCTCTTAATGTTTTGATTTTCAGGTTGTACGCTCTTGCTGCTGGGGTATTGTTGGTTTCATTCTCATTAGACAGCCAACAAAGTTTGTTACAAACTATTTCATTCTTTGTTTCTCAATAAATTTGACAATGGCTGTTGTTCCAACATATGTTGTGATCTCGTCGATTCTCACTCGATCTCTTCTGGTTTTATTCACAGCCAATCTCAAACACAGTCTAGCATTGTTCCATTTATACCATAGTTTTCAAGGATACACCATAGTAAATCTTTGTCCACTCTCTCAAAAGTCTTTTCTTGATCTGTAAAAGAAATGTTAATTTGGTGCTCGTGTTCTGTTTTTTCGCTAATTTTCCCTGGGGCCAAAATAGCGTCAGTACATCCTCTTCCTTTCCTGAATCTGACCTGTGCTGGGCTCAGAATCGATTCTACAACAGATCTAATTCGTATTTCTAGAATCTTGGGAAATATTTTACCTATGTAGCTTTAAAGGGAGATACATTTGTAAGTGTAAGTCTTGCTTTTTGCCTTTTCTTTTCCATACTGGACTATAGTGGCTCTTTGCCAGTCTGTTGGTAGTTCTTTCATTGCAGGCTTTCCTAAATATATGGAGTAGCTATGTGACTCCTGTTTCTCCACAGGCCTGTATTGCCTCAGCTGTAATTCCATCAAAACCAGCTGCCTTAATTGCCTTAATGTTTGGACTGAACCTGATGGCTTCTATGACTTCTTGTTTAGTTATTCCAGGCTGTTCCTCGTGTGTATATCTGGGTGTGAATGGTACTGTTCCTTCATTTTCCATTGCGTTCAGAAGAGTTTGGAAATATTCTTTACATCTTTCTCTGATCTTACATTTTTCATGTATGGGTCTACCTTTATTTTCATTGACATATTCTGATGGTTGGAATGGCTCATCTCTGGTTCTCATTTTTGCAATAGTTTTGTAAAACTTTCCACGAGAATGAGCACAAAGTATGGAATTTACGGTAGTGTGTTACATTCATTGTCTCAGGTTTACAAGGCTCTGATTCACCAGGTGAGTTGGGATTCATCTGGTTGAATACTCCCTTAAACTGCTACAGGTCCAGCAGTGGATTAAATCTTGCTTGAAAAAAAAAATAAGAGTAATCGGCCTCGTACTTGATGCTTCTTCAAAACCTGAAGCTGAAAGGCAGAACAGGATGAGAGAAGAAGAAATTATCCAAGTTTTAGACTAAATAATGCAACACTACAGACCTGTTGTTGATATTGTTGTATTGTTCTGTGGTAACAGTGTGATATAGTGTGTTAATGCAGCATGACTATCAGTAATGAACTTTTTCATTAAATATTTTTGATTGCAGATTATATTCTCCTCCATTACAACAATACTGGTAGACCGCCAGTTGTGAAGCAGTTGCCATGGTTTCATGAAAAACCAGTTGGATTTATGTGCTTTGACCCTACCCTTACATGGCTTCTTCTTGTTACCGAGGCAACACAGGAAATATTCATCATTCCGGCAGTCTCCATTGTTGTAAGTTGCAAGTTAATTTTATTAATATAGTTTGTATTTATTTTTCTTTCTGTTTTGTCTATCAAATATCTTACCTAAGAGACAGGGTATCTAAGAGACAGGGTATCTTATTTTGGTATGGTATCTGCCTTTCTATGAAAATAGTTACTTGCAGTGGGAAAGGTTTTGAAAAGAATCCACCGAATATAATAGAATGACAGGGGAAAAAATGTGGAAGATAGGCAAAAAGGGCAAACAAGAGATGTAAAAATGGCAAACTTGAGGGCATACTCGAGATAGGAGAAAAAAGCAAACTCTAGATAGGAGAAAAGGGCAAACTCTAGATAAGGGAAAAGGGCAAAATCGAGATAGGGTAATAGGGCAATCTCGAGATATGGAAATAGGGCAAATTCAAGATAGGGAAATAGGGCAAACTTGAGATAGGGAAATAGGGCAAACTCGAGATAGGGGAAAAGGACAAACTCAAATTGGGGGAAAAGGGCAATCTTGAGATAGGGGAAAACAGAACACTGATTAAAAGAAATTAAACATAGTCAGTGCTTTTTCAAACATGTTAGGAGAACACTGACCCTATCAGTGATTCTTGTGATTTTATGAGGCAGCCTACACTTATTCATATGGCACATGATGATGCCTATATGTCTTTGACTCAAGAAATATGAGTTGGAGCCCAATACCAGATGACATTTTTTTAATGAAATAAGAAACATGAGAAGGTTATACTTGCCAGTAGTTTTGCATGAATTTCTGTAAATTTAGCTTGAGTGAACTCATATATTGCTTTGCTTTTTATCTTGCTCAAGAGCAGTGATTTGAAGATCTCTAGGCTGCTGGAGTTATAGAGTTAGTGCTTTGTGCAGTGTTCACTTCATAGGGCCTGCTGCTCTTTGAGGTGAGACCAAGTTATATGGGATCAAATGCATACAAACTGTGACTAAATAGCTCAACAGAGAAAATAGAAAAGATATGCAGGTATACAACTGAACATTTTGACTAGAGTCAAAGTGGAGTACTAAATACAACCCAAACTGGTTAGAAAACTCAACAAACAAGTCAGCAGAGCTTGTGAACAACCAAGTCCAGCATGAAACTAGAAATGTGTATTAAAGGAGAAAATCTGAACAAGACGTAAATTATTAAACATATGACAAAATGTCCTGAAAAAGGTAAATATTTTTCTTGTAAGACTATAGTGTACTTTTACTTTGTATTCTGGCTTTATTCAACAGGATTCTAGTGCCATAATCAATCAAATATTTAAGACAGATGATGTGACAGTTCGGAAATTCAAAGCCACAAGTGGTGAGTTTTCATATCTACAACATATTTTACGTGTATGTTCAGCAGCTGATAGAGAACAACTTTAGGCCAGGAGATGTAATCATATTCACTGATGGGTCAGTGGCTAGGGGCAGAAAGACTAGGGGGGGGTGGACTTTATTGCAAAATCACAGGATGGAGGGGGGCATGGCATACACCATTACCACATCCTGCATGAGTGTGGAGGTTGAGGCAGTAACTGCAACATTCTGATGGGCGGAGAAAATCTCAGTAACACATGTTATTGTGGTATCAGATTCGTAGAGCCTTCTCAGGAAGGTGGACTCAGGTTGTCTGTGTATGGAGTGGGTTGTATCAATCCAGAGTGGTGAGAGTCACATTGTTATTTTTGCCCGGGCTATGTGGGCATGTTTGGGAGGGAGCTGGCAGATTAGTTGGCTTGACCCCCTTTCAAAGGGGGCTAAAAAAGAGTGGGGGGGGGGGGGTGTACTGCAACTGCACAAGGCTGAGGTTATCTCTCTACTGTGGGGTGGGATCATAATTAAAATTGAAAATATTGTTGAACACCTGAACCTGGAGAGAATGATACAGTGAAAAGTGTCTATGGGCTCTGGGTGCCACTCGAGACTTAGTGGAAAGGCAAAATAAGTGGTTGACCACATGACAACATCCACCATCAGACTCTTCTCTGGTTGTTAAAGAGGAAGACAAAGTTAATATTGGCGCAACTTGAATGCTGTGGTGATAAATCTTTACCCTGTTGACCGTAATTTTCAATACATTAATTGTTTCTGAGATGTTAGCTGTTAAGAAATAATTTGTATTTTTGGTGTAACAGTTGTAATTTAGAAGCTTCTATTTTTTTTTTAAATAGTTGTTTTCATTAAAGCATATCTTAGTATGTGTAAATTCTTCACGTTGCATTCTTCACATTTCAGAATATTTTGCTCACTTGCTATTTGGAGAGAGAAAAATATTGGCATGTTTTAAAATTATAATCAGGATGTTGGAAATTGTAACAAAAATATAGGCAATAAATCACTCTCATTTAATGTCAGAAAGAGAGTGCTAAAATGTTACATAGAACCTGTTCTGCTGTATGGCAGCGATTCTTGGAATGTCAGTGAACAAATTAAGAAGAATTTGGAAGCAACAGAGATGCGATTTCTGAGACAAATGTTACGAATACCTTGGGCGGCCAGAGTAACTAACAATAGTTGTTAGAAAGAAGCTAATGAAAGTATATCTATATATACAACAGTAAGAAAGAGACAAACACTGTTTTTTGGCCACATAATGAGAAGAGAGACATTGGAGAACATCGTTACAGCTGGAAAGATCAGTGGAAAAAAGGGGGTGGAGGCAGACAAAGAGACATGATTCTGGATGGGCTGAAACGATGGCATAGAGGGATATCATCAAGAGAGCTGCTCCAGGCAACCAGGGATCGTGATCTGTGGAGACACATGAGCGCCTACGTCAGTTGGCAGAGCGCATGAGGATGATGAATCAGGACCATAAACAAATAAGTACAATTTCCTAAAATATGGTAACCATGAGTTCTAGTCTTTCATCATAGAAGGTTTAATGCTTTGCCTCCAAATTCTGGAATCCTGTCATTTAGAAATTAAAGACAGTACGAATAATTCATGTTCATAAATGAATTGTATTGTAAAAGTAATATACTTTTTCCTGGCTTGGTTATTTTTAGGGCATATTACCTGTGGTCTGTGGTGGCAGACATTAGATGGCAGACAGATAGCTGTAATTGCTACAAATGTGAGTTGCTTCAATTGTTACTTTTGTACGGTAAACCTTGCAGCTTATGGATGTGAATCATGGACTTTCACTAAGTCTTTAAAGAAAAAATCAAAGCTTTTTAACCAAAATGTTACAGTATATTGTCTGGACCAAGAAGAAGAAAACCGTCAACATCCTGCATGACCTGAACATCAAGGAGAATTGGCTCATAAACAGCATCTTGTCCCAAAAGCTGAGGTATTTTGGCCATAGGGATCTGGAGAAAACAGTGATGGAGGGTGTAGTTTCTGGAAGAGGAGGGAGAGGCTGACCTCCATGAATGTGTGTATAAGACATTGAAGATGTGTTTACTATGAAAGCACACAAGGCTGGAGTATTGGCTAGAGAAAGAAAGATCTATGTTCTGTAAGGGATGTGCTGATTGATTGATGAAGAAACTCTTGTTAACACGAACTGCAAGGGACTGGGGGAAAAAAAGAGTTCATGGCAAAAACAAATTTTATACTGAAGACTCAAATTTTAGTGTTGTGGTTAAAAAAAAAAATGTGCGCCATTTTCAGAATGAAGGTCGGCTACAGTGTACCACTGTTGTTTTGGGATTATTACTTGGTCCCAGTCTTTTCCATGATATGAATGTTGAATTAGGGATAAACATCACAGGGGACACCCCCATAAGCGCTGCGTCCACATCTTCAGCAGCAAGTGAAGAGTTAAAATTTCGGATAGTACCAGTAACTGTCTGATTGTATATCCGTCTCGCCTTTCTCCTGAGTGTTGAGCGTCAGCCAGATTCCTTTATAACTCCTCGCAGTGCCATTCTCCTCAGACCATGATGTAAATCTTGTACTGCTGTCCAAAAACTAGTTTTCTCTATATTGCACACATCACACGAGGCATACATTTCTCTCACTCTGTCAGATTCATGCAACTCAAGTTCTTCATCAGCTTTATTTGCATCACCACCTCTGTGCAGTTCCTGGTGCCCCTTTGTGGGAGAAAACAAGAATAGCCCCACTGCCTCACTGACTAGCATGTCATAGGAGTTGACTAAATAGGGGATTCCTTCTGTCGGATCAATGTCTGTCTTTCCTCTTGCTACTTGCAAGTTCTTATCTTGATGCTACTCGCAGTGGCCACATTTGAGAAAAACAGAAAAAATATTTTTTTAAAAATCATTAAATTACAACGCTATAATTTTGAACACATTATTGAACTGAATAATATTAATAAAATAGACATAACACCAACAGATGTCGATAAACAGGAGGACTTCAATGAGCTGCTCTTTGCCGACGATCAATGCATATTTCACAGTGAAAGTAAACAGCTGCAAGACCACATAAACCTACTACACGACAGTTGCCTCAAACATCATATGAAGATCAATACTGAAAAGACAGAAGTCATGAGCATAAGTAGAGAGCAACAGACCATCGACATAAAGATTCTAGATCACAGCCTAAAACAAGTGCAAGAATTTAAATACTTGGGAAGTATCTTTACATCCAATGGTAAAATAGACAGAGAGATCGAAGCAAGAATCCAACAAGCCAACAATGTCGCATACCAGCTTGCCCCAATTTTAAAACACCCTGCTGTCCCAGCTGAGATAAAAAGACAAATTATAAATACAGTCTTTATACCGACATTAGGTTTTCAGTGTCAGACTTGGACATTAACAAAAGAACATGAGAGAAGACTAACCACCTGTGAAATGAGATGTTTGAGAATGGCTGTGAATAAAACCAGAAGAAATAGAGTGAGAAACGATTTGATTACAAGAACTATTGGAACCATACCCATCGTTAAATTTATTGAGAAGCAAAGAATGAAATGGTTTGGTCACCTTATGAGAATGGAACCAACGATGCCAGCATCAAGAGCATACAACATGAAAATCGAAACACCAAGAGGCAGGGGAAGACCAAGAAGAAGATGGATTGAAGGAGTCACGGACAACTTGAGACTTCATAACATCACGGCATATGAAGCGACTGAGCGCGCCCTGGCTCGGTTGCCGATCATCTGATAGACTGCGACGCCTAGCGGCACAAGCAGATTTTGACAAAAGAAGAAGAAGAAGATTGAACTGAATAAGTTTTTTTTTTTTTTAAAATAAGCTGATCATGGACATAGGGATCACAATTTTTGAGCGATTGCATCAAGTAACATTAATGTTAAAAACAATAACATGAATGGTTAACTTTTAACTTTTTGTTTTTTGTATACATAGCATAATCAAATGTGTACAGAGATTGGGGAAAATCACGGGAAAGACTCACATTCCATGTACCAACAGATAAATATGTTAACAGGAAAGATGACACGTAACAGCACTGGATGTTTGATATCAAAGGATGGTGACTTATTAATGGGACATAGTAATATAATTAACAGATGGACAGAGTATATAGGGGAATTGTATGATGATAATAGACCAGACGTAGAACTGCAGAACAACAATGATGGTCCACCAATAATGACTGCAGAAGTTGAGGATGTAATACATCATATGAAGAAAGGAAAAGCACCCGGGCCAGACAACATCTCACTGGAAGAAATCGAAGCACTGGGAAATTTTGGAATTGAAATAATAACTAAACTTTTAAATGATATTTATAACAGTGGGTATATTCCAAATGACCTTTTAAAATCCATATTTATAGCTCTGCCGAAGAAACCAGGCACTTTAAAATGTGAAGACCATCGCACAATAAGTCTTATGAGTCACATGACTAAGATTTTACTGAGAATAATTATGAGAAGAATAAGAAACAAAATTAAACCAGAAATCAGCGATGAACAATGTGGATTTGTAGAAGGAAAAGGTACAAACAATGCCATATACATCCTAAGGACATTGTCAGAAAGAGCTATAGAAGTAAAGACTGATTTGTACTTATGCTTCATAGATTATACAAAAGCATTTGACTGTGTGAAGCATGAAGAAGTAATCAAACTGTTAGAAAAATTAAACATTGATGGGAAAGATCTAAGAATAATAAAGAATATGTATTGGCAGCAAACAGCAGCTATAAGAATTAACAACTGTTTAGGTACATTTCAAAGCATAAAGAGGGGCGTACGACAAGGATGTGTACTTTCACCTGATTTGTTTTCAATATACAGTGAATATATTATGAGATCTTTAATTGATATGCCCGGAATCGTGGTTGGTGGGCACAATATAAACAATTTACGTTATGCTGATGACACAGTCTTGATAGCAACAAGTCAGAAAGAATTACAGGAAATGATAGACATTGTGGTGTTAGAAAGTGGAAGAATAGGCCTCAGTTTGAATAATGGGAAGACAGAAGTAATGGTGGTATCAAAGAAACAAATTATTCCTAAATGTGTAATAAAAGTCAATGGTGTTATTTTAAGACAAGTACAGAAATTTAAGTATCTGGGCACATGGATAACATCAGATGGAAGATGCATAACTGAAATAAGAAACAGAATTGGACAGGCAAAAACTGCATTTTATAAAATGAAAAAACATCTTGTGCAATATATCCTTGTCATTGAGAGTTAGAAAAAGAATTCTTGCTTGCTACATACATCCAGTTTTAACATATGGATGTGAATCCTGGACAATCGGTAGGCAGGCCAAACAATTTTTGGAGGCCTCAGAGATGTGGTTTTACAGAAGAATGCTTAGAATACCTTGGACAGCCAAAAAGAGCAACCAAGAGGTTTTAAAAGAGGCGGGAGACCGAAGACAACTTATCACTGACATCAGAAGGAGACAGTCATCATTTTTCGGCCATGTTATGAGAAGAGGGAAAATAGAACATGTTGTGACCACTGGAAAGATCTGTGGAAGGAGGGATAGAGGAAGACAACGAGAGAAGATGCTTGACAGTCTTGTTGCATGGCATGGAGGTGTGTCGGCACACGAACTGATACATGCTGCAGGAGATCGCGGATTATGGAGAGGCATGATCGCCCACGCCACTCGGCAAGGCACTTGATGATGATGATGATGATACATAGCAGAGGAACAACATAGAAAAACAGCTTTGGAAGTTGGGTTAAATTATAGATCAAGTGACGCAGTGGACTATAAATAAAAAAAATTAAACAGTTCATAATTCATGGTCGTAGAAATTTGTATTAACTAATAAAACTTTCTTCCAAGAAATAATAATCCCTGCCAGGAAGAAAATGTTTCTGCATTACAAATGTCTAAAAGTATTCTTTTTTTTTTTCAAGTTTATTCCTAGATTTTTATAAAACACCACAATTTGTCTTTTTTTGTTTGGACAGCTTGGGCATGCCTAACACACGAGACTGCCCAAGTAAAAATGGCATATATGATCACCCTAATTTTATCCAATGTGGGATAATGTGCTCCAGTTATTTATTTTTTAAGTTGGATTACTGTTTTGAGCCAGTTTTCTTTAATGTTCAGGTTTTGTAATATGTCAGTACTTTTGTGCTTCATCTACAGTATTGTAAGGATTTGTTGTATATCATTGAAAAGCCTGATTTTTTTTTTTTTTATTTTGAAATGGTCCACAATGCACCCTTGTAAGTTGTCACCGGACAGATGCATGTTATCTTTTATTTTCCTTGATTTTTCAGGCTGGTGAAATTTTGTTCATTGACCTAATGAATGGCAAAGAATGCAAAGAGTTGACTCTAGACATGAGCATCAGTGATCTGTCATTGTCACTTGATGACTTGCAGATGAACACAACACTCTTGGTAGGTGTTAAAATTGAGTTACAGTGCTCACTGTGGCATGAATGTTTCAGTGGAGGTTTTGTTGTATAAAGAAATGAGTTAAAAAGGGCAGCGACAGAAGAGGCTTGTCAGAGGCAGATAAACACAACACTCTTGGTAAATTTGTCTTAAGACATGTGGAATCTAGTTACAGAGCTCACTGTGGCATGAATGTTTCAGTAGAGATTTTGCTGTATAAAGAAATGAGTTGAAGAGGGCAGTGACACTAGAGGTTTGACAACTTTTTTACATTGGCATGGTGAAATATCAGTAAATACATTTATGCATTCTATTGGAAATCTTGAGATGGAAAAAAAAAAAAATTTCCATGCCAAAGCACTTGTTGATCATGACGAGCATTTTGTTAACTCTTCAAGCGCTGCAGTTATTCTTCTGCCTGTTATTTCCCATTGTCTTAACCAACTCATTCCAAGCAGTTCTGTCTTTTGCTATTTCATAAGGCTTCACACATGATGTTTCCATATCATGTCACTAATTCTCTTATTTTTAGGACCACCATTCTTCTTCTGTGTTCATCCTCAAAAGAGTGGTTTGCTCATTGTGTTCAGGGTTACAGCTAGGCTGTGATATCTGTGTCTTTTTGCCCAACACATCCAATTTAAACAGTTTCCTAATTAGTCGCCTTTTACAAAGTGCTTCTTAAGGGACAGTGGTCTATACCCCCCCCCCCCACACACACACACACACACACACACAAAACAGGACCTCTGGAAACTAACAGGGAAGAGCGTCCATTCTAAATTTGGTACTGGTTTTGATTTCTTTTCACTACCACACATTTCATAGGGCCATGCAACTTATTTTTTTCTGTTTGAATACTGTTTTCCTATCTCTGTTTCTTATTCATTTTCCTCACTGCTACCTCAATAAGAACATGAATCCCTTTTTTTTTTTTATGTGAGGTTTCAGTGAAGTGAAAATTGGTTTACTATTTAGTTGACTTATTGTCTTTGTCATTTCCTATACATTTTTTCAACCTAATTATTGTGAACTTCTAACAAATATGTTTAATTTATATTGCAAATGATTTCTTAAATGGAATGGGAGCCCAGTGTAATCAGCAGAAACCAGACCATTGAGCTGCTCTTTTAAATTCCATTTCTGTTGTTAGTTATGTCCATACTTTACAAAATAAGACAAATAAAACTGGCAGTAGGCATCCTGACACACTTCTCTTCTTAATTCACATGTTATTTTGTAAGTTTTCCTCCTTGAAGAAATCTTTGTATCATTTTAAGAATAATTACTGTGCCTTTTGTTTTTAAAGATAACAACATCTAATGGAGGTCAGTGGAGACTTATGCTAGAGTCTCGAATAGCATTCAGCAGATACTCACCAGACATGGAAATCAATGACATGAGTTATGAGAACATTGATACCTACAGTGTTCCTCCTTGTAGTATCCTGGATTCCCCTGGTAAGCAGTTCAGATTAAATGTGTGTCTAGGAAAATGGGAGCTCAGATAAGGTCTTGTTCTCAAACAGTGCAAGTGGTTTAGATGATGAACATGTAATCAGTAAGATCCTGTAATTCGAAGTTGGAAAAAGAATTATCACATGTTTTGTATAATCAGGTTAGTGTTGAATTGGAAGTTGGAAAAAGAATTATTACATGTTTTGTAGAATCAGGTTAGTGTTGAATTGGAAGTTGGAAAAAGAATTATCACATGTTTCGTAGAATCAGGTTAGTGTTGAATTGGAAGTTGGAAAAATAATTATCACATGTTTCGTAGAATCAGGTTAGTGTTGAATTGGAAGTTGGAAAAAGAATTATCACATGGTTTGTAGAATCAGGTTGGTGTTGAATTAGAAGTTTACAAAAGAATTATCACATGGTTTGTAGAATCAGGTTCGTGTTGAATTGGAAGTTGAAAAAAAAAAGAATTATTGCATGTTTCATAGAACCAGTTTCGTATTGAAATTGAACTGTGAAAGATTATTACATGTATATGATTGTACAAAAATATATCTCAGACAGTCAAAACATGAGTAGTTGGTAGTTATATAGTTATGTTAATGAATAATTAAATTGTTCAGAAACACATTTTACTTTCTCAATCATTGTCTGTTTTGTTTAAATAAGAGATGTTTAGGTTTTCGCAATGAACAATAAGATTTTTTTGTCATTTAATTAAACATTTAGAAATTAACATTATCTTGTTTTATGTGTATTCATGATTGGAACTACTGGCCTGATTGTTTAGTCTGTTCTTCCATCATATCAAACTGTGTGTTTAATTTTCAGAGGATGACAACGCCTTGTTTACACCTACTCGTTTCCAGCACTTTCAGCCACCAACTATGTTACGTCCGCAGTATGCAAGAGGACATCATTTTATAACAGCCCATTGCACATTGTCCTCAACCTTACAGGTACTTCTAACCCACTCTGAGATGTTTTAACAGTCATTAGAGCCTTGAATCAGTACATATAGTATAATTATTAAAATATGTTATTAGTTGCATACATGTTGTGAGAAGCACAGAATATGTATGTCATGAGTCCCTGAAACAACCACATCCAAACAGTACCACTTTAAGAATACGATGAGCTGTCAGCTGCACAGTACAGAAGCTTTGGGATAGTAATAGCACCTATTTTGAATATTGTGGTCGTAATTATAAAAAAAAATTTATTTATCATGCTAGTGTTTTCTAGCGTGACCAGGATATTCAGACAGCACTCAGTTAGGGTCAAATAAAGATAAGAAAAGAATTAAATAGAAAATAAGCTTACACTCAAAGCTAATGGAAAGTAGTTACATATGATGATTTGAGGATCAGGCTAGAAAGTGACTTGCAGACTTACCTGCCTTCTAGTCTGGCAATCCAATGATTGATTTCTCTTGGAGGCAGAGATTTTTTCCCCTCACTGATATGGACAACCGGGTTGACCCAACCTTCTTTGTTGTGTTTACCAGCTTTAAACTTCAACAGACAGATCTGGTTATTCATCTACTTCTGAACTTAAGTCTCATTCCAGAGCTTTAGTTTTGTGTGTGCACATCTTTTTTGCAGATCTGGCTTATTTGTATGCAGACTGTTGGTTTCATGTCTCTCAGGCAGATGCACTCCGACCTCGAAGGGAAACACCGCCAATTAGTCTCCTTTTATGACATGCTTGTTAAGTGGGGAGGATGGGTCTGGGGGTCTATTCCGAACCCCCACCCCCACGGGCCTCAAGAAAAGCAAAAAAAAAATTAGGTTTCCTGGGAAGTAAATGTGACCTGCATGATATTTTCCACATGACTGATCAAATACAGACTGATCTAAAACATCTGAGGCTGGCACCATATATATATTCAATATGTCTCATAGCCCCGAAAGCATTTATTTACCTTTTTTTTTAAACATATAATAATTATTGGCTAGTTTACAGTTTTGACACACTACTGTTTGAAATGTTGATACAAACAACACTACAAGGCAGGAGGCCAGCCAATACAAGGTGGGTGGAAGGAGTAAAAGAGACGCAGAAATGCAGTATGACATTAGCACAAGCTGCGTAACTAGCAAAAGACAGGAAACTACGCCTAACTTTTCTCTGCAATGTTTACAGCATTAAGCAGTAGGACAAAATACGAAGAAGATATGCAAACAATATTAGACTGTTATTTTGATGAACTAGGAAGCTGCTGTCACATTTTGTTGTGTTTGGATAGTACGACACTTGACTTTGTTTTCTGTCATCTACAGGTGCTTGATTCAGATGCTGAGCACAGTCCTCTGTTTGTTTATAAGTTGCCAGTTGGAGCAGAAAGTGTCATTCTTACAGACAAACTCATATTTGCAGTTATACATCATTCCAGAGACAGGAAGTTGATCATACTGTCCAATCAAAAGTCAGAGAATTCAGTAGACGAACATCAAGTATGTAATTATTATTATGAACGTGCAGGTTATGGACCGTTTCACAATCACTTAAAGAATATTTTAAAAACTGGCATTTGAACTTAAAATTTACAAGTTATTTCTTGGAGAATCATGGACTAAGGAATGGCTCATAGACAGATTTTTTAGAAATGTAAATACTTTGGCTTTATTAAAAGCCAGAATGGTTTGAAAATGATTTAGATAGAAGAGGCAGGGGTTGATCACTGCAACAGTTTTCACAAGAATCAGGGCATGAAGGTTTGTCGTTTACCATAAATGCTTATTGTAAATGTTACATTTCTTAGAATATCATGGATCAAGAGGTTTAAAACAAAAGTGCTGACATGACTATATTTTAAAGGAATGAAACTGGCTCATGTCTTTGAAATTAAATTCTTTTGGCCATAGTAAATACCACAGTGGTTTGGAAATAATAGTATTGAAAGACAAGATTTCTAGAAAAAGAGAAAGGGGTAGACCAGCATAAAATGGGCACAGCCACATGATGATGATGACTATGTCATAGTAAACCTTATTTTTATTTTCTTTAAATGGGTCCTTGGTTTAATTTTGTGCAAAAAATACAAAATATTATACATTTTTGTTAAATATTTTTGAAAATAAGACATTTTTATTAGTCTTAATTGTTGTCAGATAAAAGATTTTTCGGTTGCCTTTTTTGCACTAATCTACAGCCACATGATGATGCAAAACAAAATAAACAACTTTCAGCCTTATCATAAGGCTAAAGTAAAGAGGATCGACTTCATTGGAACAGTGTTTTATCTCATATGACTTGGTCTCTCTTTGCAAGATGGCAATTACAAACTCTCTAGCTCCAGCGACAGCCACCAGGGAAGTCAATAAAAATTGCACTTGTGAACTGAACAACTCAGCCATGATATGAACCTATGACCCTCAGAGCGCGAGGCAAACGGCTTGACCACTTTGCCACTAGAGTCCCCATGTGAGTTTCAAGGCCCCATTCAGGTGGAAAAGTAGAATAGATCCACTGCTTCTTAATAAGCATGTAAAACAAGACAATTAGTTAAGGATTTGCTGAAATCTGATGTGTTAGTTCGAAATACGCATGTATAGTAGTTAGTTGCGTATCCTTTACAGGATTATAAAGAACAAACCCCAGCATTTTTTAGCTGTTGTGGTTTTTCTAGGCAAGCTTACGCCCAGTAGTTTGCTTTCTGGACGGTCGGCTTCCCAATACCACTGTCAAAATCAACGCAGGGCGCTAGAACATAACTTCAGTACAGAAGTGAATGAAAAGCCAGAATTGTCTGCTGGAGTTTAAGCTGGTGAACACAAAGAGGAAGACAAATAAAATATATGAGTCAGGGGAACTGGCCAGGTCTAAAGAGGCCCTTCAACAAACATGATGGGTGCAACACTATGCAATGGACCTACTATATGGCAATGATGATCAACAGTGTCTTTATGAGAAATGAATGTATATGTTGATGAACAGTGTCTTTGTGAGAAATGAATGTATATGTTGATGATGATTAACAGTGTCTTTATGAGAAATGAAGTATATGATGATGAACAGTGTCTTTATGAGAAATGAATGAATATGATGATGAACAGTGTCTTTTTAAGAAATGAATGTATACATCATAATGACAGTTATCAGTGTCTTTATGAGAAATGAATGTTGTATAAAATCATTAATTCAACCTTGTGTTTTATAAAGGACTTCAGCAATGAAGCAGTTGTTCAGGAATTCACTTTGCCTGAAGGAGAACATCTTATTGGTGTTGAGAGGAAACACTACCCTTTCTATTACCATGAGCATCATGAAAGTGAATGGTTAAAGCGAGTGCGAAGTGGAAGTGTTTCTGGGCCATCAAAACATCTGAGCCAGAGTTTAGATTCGCCGGTGCTTGATATTCCTGTGACCACACATACTGTTCTGGAAGGATGTATTGTTGTAACTGATTGCTCTGTCTATGAAATCAGACCTCGGTAAGTCTACTGTTTTTTTTTTTAAGTAAATTACAAGTGAATAATGTGAGATGCACGTGTTAAATAGAAGGATTAAAGTGTTGAGATACAATTTATTTGTCTAATTATCTATCTCTTTCATCTCTCACTGGAGCAAAAAAGAAAATGTAAATTGATCTTTTTACATCAAGATGCATTTAGCATAATCATGCTAGATTCATATTTTTAAAGACCAAGTGAAACTTAATAACTACTGGACATAAATTTGCCTAGAAAAACCACACAACAGCCAGGGGCTGCTGGGGTTGGTTCTGCAACGTCCTGTAAAGGATACGCAGCTAACCTGAAACTTAATGGAGATGTGGTCAGGATCATACAGGCCATATTAACTTCCCACAACTTAACCTGGTATCCATTTTAGGCTGTTTCAACCTGGGAGCCAAGATCTTCTTTCTAGCGTTCACCAGCTTTAGACTCTGGCTAAACGTTCTGACTATTCCTTCATTTCTGAACTTTGGTCTTGCTCCAGAACTTGCATTTTGCATGCACATCTGGTTTACTAATTGGGCTGGTTTTTAAGCAGACTGCTGGTCCCTCGCCTCTTAAGAAGATACACTCTGTAAAACATCCACTTATGTAAAACATCCTTGGCACCTTTTATGATGTTAGGGGGAAGGGGGGGGGGGGGGCAGTGGGTCTGGTTTTTTTTTTTTTTTAACACCAGAATGCGCACTGGTCATTTTAAAAAAGTGAGAATATTTTTTACAGCCATTTTGTGTGTGGTATAGAAGGATTTCAGAATACAAACTGATGCATGCTGTTGGAGGTCACAAGTTGAGGAGAGGCATAGTTGGCCATTCAGGAGGGCACTTGATGATGATTGCAGACAGCTTTTTATCTAGAATTCATACGAAAAATTCATATCTGCAAGATTGCAGAACATGTTTGAAATAATATTTGAGTACTCTGGTTCAGTTTTCAATAATTTTTCAAGTTTGTTAAATGCTTTCATAGTTCTTTCATGCTTTCATAGTTAGTAGAGAAGCTTAAATAAATATGGCTAATGGTCAGGAAAGCTAATCTGGTCCACAAATGCTTGCAGAAGTTGGATGAGATAGCCGAAAGACTCAAATGTCGCAGTCATGCTGTTAACGGGCACAAAACAATAATTCTTCATGTCACAGAAGTAGTAGTATTGGTAATTAGATGTAAATAAGTTTAAGCGGTACTTTTAGAAACTTCTTTAATTTTCATGTTGTTTTTAATTAATTATACTTTGTTATATAGCTCAATTTGTTCCTTCTTCAGATCAAATAACTTTAAAAAAAATATAATCTGTTCAGAGAAGTATACATTTTAAATAGTTTTAATTGTTGTAATATCTTTTGAATATTTCTGTTATATTAATATTACAGCATATCACCAGAACGATTGTTTCTTCATTTGGCTTTAACTTTGCCAGATACTGCGTCTGCAGAAAATCTGGCTATAAGTATTGGCTTGGATCTTACAAGTCTTTCTGAGTTAGCAGCAGATTTCATGCTGAAACAGTCATGTTTTTCTAAGGCTTTGAAACTGTACACATTATCAAAGGTAATTTTTTTCATCACACAAATGAGAATAAATATTGTATTCAAGTATAATATTCTTCAGTCCTTCTATCAAATTTCTCGAAAATTGAAAACTAATCCTGCATTAGAAGGAGTTAATAAATAGATGCTTTGCTGATAGTATGTGGGACACTACTATTTAAGAGACAACAGTATATATGTGTATGATTTGTTGTGTTTCTTTTATATATGTAAAGACTGTCCTGCGATTAAAAGCTGTACATATGGCAGTTGCATATACCAGCATAGTCCTTACACGTGTAATACTGAAGCAGTTAGGGTTTTTCCTTCTAAGTCAGAATGCATCTGCCTGAGAGGCAAGGAACCAACAGTTTACATACAAATAAGCCAGTACTGTGAAAGGAATGTGCAGGCAGAGCTAAATTTCTGGAACAAGACTAAAGTTCAGAAGTGGACGAACAACCAGAACTTTCTGATAAGAGTTTAGAGCCGGTGAATGCGAAGAAAAAGAGAATCACCCATGGCTGTTTTCAAACCCTGATGTGTTGGGATTATGAAACTGTTTTTATAACCCTTAGACCACAGACTCTGACCCTGATAATGCGTGTATGGTAAAACAATGTAATTTATGGAGAGGCAGATAATTTCCTTAACAAACTCACCAATAAAAAGATGTCAGTTCACCGACAAATCATGCTCATTGCACATCAAATTAGTCAACCCATAAGTGCTCCTATCTCTTCCTCTGAAAATCTTCCAGCATGTAGTGCAGTGGTCTTCAATCTGGGGTCACACACGCCCCCGGGGAGGGGGGAGGGGCAAGGCGATCGAGGGGGTGTCAAGCAATTTAAATTGAGTGTATTTATACTTCTTCTTCTTCAGCATTCCCAGCTCTTGAGGTTCATTGCTGCAGATATCACCCACCTCCATTCATCTCTCTGGTTGCCTCTTTCCAGTTGGTGATGCCAAGTGTTTGCAGGTCTGTCTGGACATTCTCTATCCATCTTCTTCTTGGTCTGCCTCATGGTCTACGACCATTAATCTCCCTCGTGTGTACAGTTTTTACTTCTCTGTTATCTGACAAATCATTCAATGTGCCCCAACCATTTCAGTCTATTAGCTCTCACGATGCCAGTGATCAGTGGTGATTTAAACAGATTATGAATTTCATTATTGCTTCTCACTCTCCATTTCCCGCTGTTTTCATCTTTGATGGGTCCAAAGATTTGTCTGAAGACTCTTTTTTTCGAAAACCTGTAATAAGGCTTCATCTCTTTTAGTTGTGCTCCGAGTTTCAGAGCCATCAAAAATGACTGGTCTTACCAACGTTTTAAATTTTTTTTATCATAGTGTTGCGAGACAGACACTTTGACTTTAGCAGATGTTGAAGGGCAAATTTCCAGATTTATTCTAGATAGTATTTCTTCTCTTGACATGTTGTTGTAGTTGAAGTTTGCACCCAAGTACTTATATGTTTCAGTTCATTTGATTTTCATATTATCAACTTGTATGTGGCTAGAGTTTATATCCTTTCCCTGTCTAGTTATTATTATGTAGTCTGTCTTATCTTGAATGATAACTAGTCAAGTAGTTTGTGTATCTACAGTTAAAAATCTAAATTATGTGACAACACAGGCATTTAATTATAGATTAAGAACGCATTCTCACCAAAATGTAACTCAGTGCTGTCTGTTTCGCTTGTTGAGGAATCTGTTGTCCTCCTCTTTTTAACCACATTTAGTTATTGGGCGAGGGGGGGAGGGTCCTTGTAGTATACTCAGTGGGGGGGGGGGGGGGGGGGTGAGGTCTTGCCATATACTCAATGGGGGCAAAGGGGTCTTGCCATATACTCAGTAAGGGTGCAGGGGTCTTGCCATATACTCAATGGGGGCGCAGGGCTCCTGCCATATACTCAGTGGCTGCGCAGGGGTCTTGCCATATACTCAATGGGGGCACAGGGGTCTTGCCATATACTCAATGGGGGCGCAGGAGTCTTGCCATATACTCAATGGGGGCGCAGGGGTCTTGCCATATACTCAATGGGGCGCAGGGGTCTTGCCATATATTGGGGGGGGGGGGAGGCTGAAAAGGGTTGGAGACCACTGGTATAATGGGTGGTAACAAGAGTTCTGTGTTTGGTCATTATCATTCTTTAGCTTCCTGCATTGTGCCCTTGCCTGGCCTTATTTATTCTCGTTAACTTGATGTTCTGGCTGTCTGATCATGGTTGTATAAATACACACAATCAACACTTGATTCTTGCAAGTGATTTGCTTACATAGCATTCACTATATCAGCCTGGTTCATTTGCTCACCGTCCTCAACAGTAGCCTTATCTGCAAGCCTATCGGCCTGTTAATATGTCAGTTGCAATGAGAAGTATAGACAAGTAACTCTCTTAGTATGCTATATTTCTTTAATGTTTAAAAAAATTTAAATAAATTAATTGTTTCACATAATTATTAGATTTTCCTTTTTTTTTTTTTTAGATTAGTTAGAAATCATGTAGTTCCTTCTACGTTTAAGACTGTGAAACTTTTTATCATCATTCAGACAAGTTATGTTGTTAATTTTTCTTTAACTGCTGCTAAGAAAAAACAGAAAAAGGTAGGTACATGTTGTTGTTTAGAAACATTTATTATTAAAGAAATCTGCAACTACAAAATTTTTAGAATTGTGCAAAGCTGTCATTGTTAATATTCACTTTCTTCTTTACCCTTCATATTTCTGTCTCTCTGTTTACTATCTAATACTTTTCCAAGTTTTCTTGTTGAAAGTGTTGGGGAAGAGAAAAAGTAAAAGAAAAAACACATTATATTTTGATTTACAGCTAGGCTGTGATATCTCTGCTATTCAGCTAAACACATCTGATTTCCGCACAACCCTAATTAGTCACCTTTTACGACACGCTTGTTGGGGGGGGGGGGGGGGGGTCAATTTCTTTTTATTCCCTAAAATAAGACCCATGAAACCCACACTGTGAAATTATCGGTTTATAACTTACCATATTTTTTAGCATAAATAAAAATGTCAAAATATCTGCAGCACAATAATTGGGTACATGTCAACTTATTACACATAACTGGTGAAAGATGGGGAGTGTCAGGATTATGCGTTACTGGGCCATAACACAATGGGATGACATAATTTTCCACACTACCCTGTGTGGGTTCTGGGGCCCTATTTTAGGGGAAGGGGAGAGAATAAACCCTCTGCCTCCCAACACTCATGTCGTAGAATGTGGCTAATTAGTTTTTCTAATATCAGATGTTTTAGGCCAAACCAAAAATGCAACATGCCGGTCGTCCTTTTAAAGTCAAAGACAGTAAAAGAAAAAGAAATGTTCCACGCTTTTCCTCTGAAAAATTCTGATACTTATTTTATGAGACTGGGTTGAAGAAAGAAAGATTTATAAACAATTTTACATTATTTATTTTGGTAGAACAGATATATACACACATATAGGTGTGCGTACATGTCTGCCTGCCTACATACATGTGTGTGTTTAAGGGGTGAATGGGGTTTGGTTAGTAGATGGGTGTACGCACGTGTCAGCTTGCCTACATGCAAATGTGTGTTTTAGGGATGAGTGGGGTTTGGGTTATAGATGTGTGTGTGCGTGCATCACCAGCTGTAAATGTCAGTGGAAAGTCGTAGTTGTCTGTCATAACCCTATCCTTGGTCTTGACCCAGTACTCAAGTTTTGTGTGCACATCCATTTTACAGATAGAGATTACTTAATTGCAGACTGTTGGTTCCTTGCCTCTCAGGCAGATGCTCTCCGACTTTGAAGGAAACACCCCTAATTAGTCACTTCTCCGGGAAGACTAACCCTGTCAAATACCTGCAGAAGTTTGCTGTTTTCACCAAAAGGTACAAATATTGCAATCATGCTGTGAAAGAGCACAATGCAGTAACATCTTCAGATGACTGCAGAAAAAGAAGAAGAAAAGTCACTTCCTACGACGTGATTGTTGGCGAGAGGGGGTGGGCGTCCATTCTTTGTTCTTCAATATTAAACACTGGAACCTATACGGGTAACCTGCATGACATGTAATTATCCTTTTAAAGACCTCACCATTGTCATATAACATTGAATCAGTTGAGAGATGTTATTTTTTCTTATCAGTGTTCGGCAACAAGGCGCACAGGAGGTCTGGCTCGGCATGGCTGCATTTCTGAAACAATGATTCATCTGAGACAGGTCTTGAGTAGCTCAAACTTCGAACTAAACACGTCAGAAAGGAAGTACCTCTCTAACATGCTGCTTCATTGCTTTATATACCAGATGAACAATCCAGGGCAGGCTGCAGCTAATATTCGTGCTGGTTTAAGGTGAACTACTTTATCTTATTGCAGATACTTTACATCATTTGCCTCTTCAGCTGGAAAAAATGCAATAAATTTTATTGTGTTAATACACAATTGGCTCAAGCTGACTGGCTGTGATGATGTCACCGGGTCAGGCTAACGATGCGTTATCACAGCGGTTTTTAAACTGGGTGTTGAGGCACCCTGGGGTGCCTTGAGTGCATGCCAGGGGTGCTGCGGCAATAATCAAGAAAAGTCGGCTAAAAATTGTGAAATTATTAAAGAAAGCATGTAGATACTTAAAAGTCAAAGTTTAAGTTGTCTTCCCTCGTCACTGTCAAAATAATTTTTTTTCTTGTTTGAGAACCGCTGCGTTAAAGCATTGGTAGCCCGACACGGTGACATCGGCAGCACGGCCTGTCATATTTAATACTTCATCTTCTGCAATTGTTCTTAAAAGGGCAGCTGCCACATTGTGTTCAGGTTTACAGGCAAGCTGCGATATCTTTATCTTTCGGCCAAGAAATCTGATTTCGGCAAATCTCTTAATTAGTCCACTTCTATTACATGATAGTTAGGGGGGCAGTGGGTCTGTTCTTCTTTCCTTAAAATGGGGCCCTGGGACCCACATGGTGAACAAAGGATTTAACCCCAGGCTCCAACAGGAAAGCCCAGCATTCCTACTACTGGCCAGCCACCCCTTCTTGTTTATAATGTTGACTATTGTAAATTGTTGCATATTATAATATTGACTATTGTAAATTGTTACATATTATAATGTTGACTATTGTAAATTGTTACATATTATAATGTTGACAATTGTAAATTGTTACATATTATAATGTTGACTATTTAAAATTGTTACTTATTATAATGTTTATTAAATCACTTTTGTTACATAATATATCAGTTTGTTTATTAATACACTTTTTTGTAATTATGTTTATCAATTCATATTATTGCAAGTATGTTTATAAATTTTAATTGTTGCATAATATGATGCCATATTTAGTATGTTTACTAATTCACTTTGAGGTACAGTGCCATGTCCCCTTTACAGTATTGACTAAATCCTATTGTAACATATTTACTGTCACATTCAGTATATTAATTACTTCAATATTTTAACCTATGATTATATCCACAGTGATTTTCTGTTGGGAAGTTTTTCCTTTGATGAGAAATCTGCATTGAATCTTCTGTCTGACTATGGGGAAGTGGAGCTGCTTTTGTCTTTTGCTAAAGCTCGAGGACTTGTAGTCGATGCACTGAACTCACTGGTCAAATTCCAAACATTTTCTGCTGTTCCATTTTCTGCTTTAAATGATCTTGTCCAGCGTGGGTTTACAGCTCATTTGATTCAATCAGGATTAGGTAAGTGAACCTTTTTTATCAAATTAGTTTACTTATCACCACCATAATCATGTGCCTTGCCAGTCGGTGTAGGGCGGGGCTGTTGAACTAGTGGCCTAGCATGGTAATATCTGATGATCAGTAGGAACCTTCATGCATTAGATTAATACAACCAGAACCTTGGACAGAGCATATTCCACAGAATTTTTGGTTCTTTCCCAATATCTCCCCCCAAACAGTCAGAAGAAATTTTTAGGGTGGTGGTAGATAGGCTGCATGCAGTCGTGGGACCTAGGCTGCATTTTCTCATGGGATGTAGGTGTGTTGTTGTTAGGTCAAGTTCTAGATGTTTTGGGGTAGATAAAAGCATCAGAGAGCCGGGAAACCTGCTCTTCCCACCATAAAAAGAATTGGACTGTCCCGTGACGTCATCCTGGAGAGAGAGATTGAAAAAGCACTGCACTTTTTGCCTAGTCCAAGTGTTTAAATACAACATAATTGCTTTTTTAGGTGCAGCATGTTTTTGTTGTTGTTGTTGCTTACATATACCTCAACATTGTTGTTGTTCTATGGCCCATAAGAGACTGTAAAAGTGGTAACACTGTAACTTATTATGCATTGTTTAAGAGGTGATTAGGAGGGCTGGCATAAGATTTGCTGCCTCACACTGCAGAAAGCTTTGGCTTCAAAATCAAACGGATGCTGGACAGTCCTACAAACAGTTTGTTGAAGGCTTGTGCTCTCGTGTGATATGAAAGGCAGAAGAAGAGAATGAGACACAAACTTAACTTCTTGCAAATATATAATTTGCATATTATCAAAATATTTCGTTTTTTAATGTATACCTTTTCAGTCATTGAGTTACTGAGCAACACTGACTGCTTGGTATAGCCGCATGCATACATAAATCTGGGCTCAGTAGAAGGGAAGAGGCAGACCAAGAAAGACCTGGATACAGAGCTTGAATGAATGTCCAGGCCTTAGGCATGCAAGCATGAAGTACATTGCATCTGACTGTCATATGTAGAGGTCCCTGTGTGGGTTCTGGGGCTCTATTATAGGGAAAACAAGATTAGAACCACTGCCTACCCAAAAGCATGTAGTAAGAATGGACTAATTGGAAGCTTCCTTCGAAGTCGGAGTGCCTCTGCCTGAGAGGCAAAGAACCAGCAGTCTGCATACAAATGAATCAGATCTGTCAAATGGATGCACACGCAACACTCAGGTCCTGGAAGTGGATGAACAACCAGAACGAAGAAGAGTATGTAGAAGGAGCTGATCAGACAGTCAACAGAAACTGGTAACCTGATGGTATACATTGTCACAGGACAGTGATGATATGCACATTATTTATTAACAAATGGCTTACCATATAAAAGTAAAGTAAAGTAAAGATCCCTTTTCTCGCCTTTCGGCGCATCAGGCATATGGGAAGAGCGTCCCATATTTTTACAGACCATCAGCACTCTGTGGGTAATGTGGTCAGCATTTCGCCGGCTGTCTTTACTTTCCCAGGACAGCCCATCCTGGTACCCATTTTAGGCTGGGTCGACCTGCGACGTCCCATACCGCGATAAAAATCCACGCAGCCTGCAGTGGGTTTCGATCGCGGTACGTTGGATTACGAGTCGGACTCGCAAGGCCTTAGCCACGGACGCCACTGGCTTACCATATAACTTCTGCTAATTAATCATGTGATCTACCTTGATCTAGCATGTTTAACAGTGTTAGGAGTGAATTAATTGTGCTGAATTTTATCTCATATAGCCCGATCAGTCTATACAGAGTAGATAGTTATACACAAGAGTGTTGCACACAGCACAAACTCTGCAGCTCTAGCATTGACCCTAGGGATCTCTGAAACACCTGCGCCTGCATACTGAAGGACCAAGTCTTGGAATCTGAATTAAACCTTCAGTGCAGGAGGCAGATGGCCTAACCACTTCACCACCAAAACCCAAAATCTAGCATAAATGAAATCTCATTGCGCAGCTATGTGGCAGTTAGTTTCTGTGAATGCCTTTGTTTAGTATTTGTGGGAACTGTTTATTTTCTGCATTCAGGTTCCTTGCTTCCCTGCCTGCCCCCAGAAGACATTGTCAAGCTGCTTATCACACGACCTCAACTGGCCATACAGAACTACTCATTGCTGAGACGTCTTATCCCATCACTGAAATATGACCAGCTTCTGGAGCTTGCGAGAATATTTGACCCCTCCAAGTCTGTCATGAGAGGGACCTTGCTGAGGTTGCAGAGCTCAAGAAGGAGGTGAGAGTAACAATATACTGAGATATGGCATGTTGGCGATGTGGAAGCATTAGTGTCGGGTATCAGACCTCACATTTTGTACGCAATTGTACATTATGCAGTACAATAATTATGATTTAGAGAAAAGTCCTTGTGTATTCTGTTCTTTAGCCTCATTTTTGGGGGGGAAAGTCCTTGTGTGTTCTTGGCCCCCATTTCGCGGGGGGGGGGGGGTGGGGGGGGGGGGGGGTGGGGGGGGGGGGGGGGGGGGGGGGGGGGGGGACAGACCCACTGCCCCTAGTATGTCTTAAAATGCAACTAATTAAGGCTTCCAGGTTGACCCAGCCTTGAGTGGGTACCAGGTACAGTCCTAGGAAGTAAAGGCGGCTGCCATGATGCTGACCACATCACCCACCAAATGCCGTTTGGTCTATAAAATATAGATCTAGCCCTGTACACCCAATTTTGTGGAAAAGGGGCCTTTGTTTTACTTTATATATATATATATATATGTAAAGTAAAGGAAGAATAGTTTGATTTATTCATATAACCATATGCTCATATTTTCCTGAGATAAGATTAATATCTCTTTTCACATTTTCAGTAGATGTATCGTGTAAACTTCATGTCTTTTCCACATGATTTTGATGAGTTGCCTGTTATCACCTATAGCCTATAGTATCCCAGCAATTATTTTCTTCTCTCTCTATGATGTTCTTATGCCATTTGTCCTGTTAGTTGGGTTTTGATTATATTATGTTTCTCTTGTGGATCGTTTTGTTCCCAGAGCAAACAGTCTGACATCTATCTGCTCTACCGCAAGTGAAACTCTTGATGTCACATCCGTAAGTCAGTAGTACCACAGTTTTAAGATTTATTAGATAGTTGTGCAGTTTTTGTATATACACAGTATGCTTTATTATTTTAGTTGAAAATCATAATACAAGTTAAATGTATATTGTGATGAGGTGCTTTGCAAGGTCTCCATGCTCACAGCAAGTCAAGCAGAAAATCCGTGCGACAGACAGCTGCATGAGATACTTAGGGCTGAACGGTGAATGAGGGAAAGCGAGGTGGACTCATGGTCAGTCGTGTACCAGATTTAGAAGAGGACAGTCATGATGTCGTTACTGTAGTTTTAATTAAGTGGAGTCAACTTTGAGTAAATGAGTGTTGTGTCATATTTGTGGAAGTGAAGAGCGATGATTGTGAGTAATTGAGAAGGAGTAGAAGAAATAAACTGGCAGAATGCATAATGGAATCTGAGCGGCGTTGCAGTGTTGTCAGTTGTAGGAAGCTGCGTTTGTTCTAGAGTAAACAAGCCATATTAAAAGTGAACCAGCTATAACGAGCTTTCTTACATATAGTATTATACAGCCTACTTCCATTGGTACCTTATCATCTTCTTCATCATCATTCGCCCGAGTGGCATAAATCATTTGTGCCTATCCCTAAAAGTGAGGCCCAGCAACCTATGCAGGCAATGCTTCTGTTTAATTCTGTTTATTTTATGAGTTTGTAAATATTAAAATGGGTTTATAGGAATTGTTACATCGTTAGTGGATTCATGACACACGCCTGTTGAAGAATCTCTGATCTATGAAGTAATTAAATAAAAGGACATCTGTCCATACCTTGAGGCCTACTAGGTATTTAAAACTAACCCCATGTTTTTATAGATCAGTTAACACTCAGCAGATGATGCTATCACTATCATGCCTGCCATCTTTTGCTTCGGGAAGAAACTGTTGTATAGCAGCTAGGCGCCCGCTTGCAGATTTGAAGGTCATGGGTTCAAATCTGAATGGAGCTGGATTTTTTTTCAAAAATTACCTAGGCTCCCAGATCAACCCATCCTTAAATTGTTATTTGGTAAAGTCCTGGGAAGTAAAGGTGACCAGCTTGATGTTGACCACATCATCACCCACCAGATACTGATTAGTTTCTAAATTATGGGTCTAGCACCATCTACCTAGTACGCTGGAAGGAGTGGGAAGTAGTTCTTTACTTACATCTTTGCTTCTCAGAAAATTTCCTGAAATTATATTTTAGATATAATCGAATGCACTGTGAGGTTAAGGAAAAAAGCACTAGTTAAAAAGATAAAAGTCATGGATGACATTTTATGGGCGTGTTCACTTAAGGACATATAACCCAGCATATAATTGCCAACAGAGTGCTGTATGTCCTTGGTCCTTATCCAGATTGGACTACAGGTTACATCCAGATGCTGTAGCCATTTGGGGTGCCGTACGTATAACTTCTTTGGAGGTTGAAAAGCATATCTGGAATCTACTTTGTTAGTCTGCCGCCCAGATTGAGATTTGTTTATCTTAGGATGGTATGGTAAACCTTTAGACAGCAGCTTGGAGGGGACACCATTTTTTTTTTCAACAAGGTGTTCCCAATTTGTTCTTCCCAAAATGTTATGCCCTGGTGCCTATGCAAATTAATGTTTATATCATCCGTTTTCAGTATTGTGCCAAGAATGTTAATATTTTCTGCTAAAAGAAACAGTTTAGTCTACAGTGTTTCCCCAAAAATAAGACCTAACCCGCAAAAAGGCATGATTTTTCGGAATGCTCGTAATATAAACTTTACCTCAAATATAAGTTAAGATCACTAACCAGATTTTGTCACAGATTACAGGTTTGCATCCTTGAGAACATTAGACGAGGAGAGGAGTGGGTCAAAGTGCCACCTGAACAGTCAGACTTGTGTAGGTTCATAATCACACTGAGCGGGGAATACAGAGACTGGCCAACAGGTGCCACAGCGGTGGAAATTCAGCAATTAATTCAAGATAATGCTCGCTTAGAAGATTTGATCATTTACACAGACGGTTCAGAGGCAAAAGAAGTGCTTGGGGTGTCTTAGCAAAAGTTAATGGTCGACTTTTGGTGCAGGAGAGCCTAGCATATGATACCACAACATCCAGCTTAAGAATGGAGGTGGAGGCGGTCACTGCAGCTTTCCGCTGGCTAGAGAACACAACACACACACATCATGATTGTAACTGACTCAGAAAGCATGCTGAGGAAGATCAGGACAGGCATGCTTCGTGCAGAGTGGGAAATGAACAGGCAAACAGACTGGCTGGCTCTGCACAGCTTGGTGGAATACTGGTGCATGATAAGGCAGATGTGGTTAGTGCCTTGTGGGAGAGCTTGTACAGTTCGGAGGAGCAGATTGATCACCTTAGTGTGGTGAGATTGATGCAGTTGGGAGTATCGGAACTCTTCGCTGGCTGCTGAAGATGGGGATGAAGCACTTAGGGAAATGCCCTGAGTGCTGTGATGTCGGTTCTTGAATCAAATCAAATTAAATCATATTACAGATTTTGAAATACATGACAGATATATATATATATATATATATATATATATATATATATATATATATATATATATATATATATATATATATATATATATATATATATATATATATATATATTCACACACACATATATACATATATATATATATATATATATATATATATATATATATATATATATATATATATATATATATATATATATATATATATATATATATATATATATATATATATATATATATATATATATATATATATATGAATAAAGTATTTGTTTTGATTCCATAGGACCAAAGAGAATTGAATGCAGAATCGTTGATAAAATTTTTCCTGCTTGTTGTTCTACATCTCAATCATTGTCGGCGCCAATCACCTACTTATAAACTACCTGCATTGAATTTTTCCTCCATTGTTTCCAGTCCAGCAGACAGTGTGAGAGAAATGGTTTGTATGTTTTATTTGCTTCAGTTATGTATTTCAGCTGTGAAGTCTTTTCACTGTAAAATAGATCAGAAGTTATAATGTTATAAAATGGATTTCTCATGCAAGCAACAGACTGTTGTATTTAGTTTGTGAACTGGATGCAACAGATTCTGCAGCCAAATATACAGGAAATTCCAGGAGGAACTTTGCCTTTGAGGACAAGCCTTCCACATGCAGTAGAAAGCTCTAAAATCTGGCCACTTAGTATTCCAGTGAAAACGATGCTGTAGAGATCAGAGGAGCTGTGTTGCACCACAGTAGTATTAGAGGCCTGTGGCCTGAGCTGATATCCACAGGTGGTGAATGAACAAAAGAAGAAGAAACCGGTTTCTATAAATATTTCATTATATGTTTAGTACAAAACAAATGAGAACATTTGTTATAAAATGTTTTTTGTGTGTGTGAGAATAAAATATAACATGTGGTCATTAAATGAGAATTGAAAGAACAGCGTCGATGCATTACCCAAGTTTGAGGTTTGACCAAGGTATTCTCTCACAGTGTTAACCACATTATAGCTAAGTAAAGTAAAGGACCCTTTTCCACGCCTTTAGGCGTATAGGGCATATAGGGCTAGACCTATATTTGTATAGACTAATCAGCACAAGATGGGTGATGTGGTCAGCATCACGCCAGCCGCATCTACTTCCTGGGATTGCACCCGGTACCCACTCAAGGCTGGGTCGACCTAAGAGCCAAAGTCATTTTTGAAAAAAGTCTGGTTCCTCCAGGGAGCGAACCCACGACCTTCTGATCCACGGCAACATTATGGCCAAAGCCTGTAAAATTCTCAATGTTTTAGAAGCAGCAGACTTTGAGCAACAACCTCTCCTTATGCTATACCAGGGACTGGTACTATGTTTCAGTATGGCATAACTAATCAGTATATTCATTACGACCTAAATGGAAAGTTCTCACAAGGTGTAGAAGGATGTTGTGCATATTGTTCTTGGATGCACTTGAGATATTGCCTATAAAGGTAATGCAGTGAGATTTGTTTGGTTTTACCTCTTTGTCACCAGATTGTGACCGGTACCATCAGTATTAGAACTCTGCGTTGACTGCTGTAGATGAGGACGGAGCACACATGGGAATTCCCCAAGTGCTGTGATGTGAATTCTTGACTCAACTTAACTCAACTGTTTGTCGTGGCAATAAAATTGATTACTGTCTCACAAATGCCCCTCAGATTAAGCAGAGGCATTGCCTTCATCCTCGATGAACAGCTAGTGGAAGAAATGGCAAAAAAGGCTCCAGCAAGGAACATCTATTTTTGGGATAAGCTGAGGACAATGTCTGCAGAGTTTATGTTCTGGAAGGTATTAACCTTTTGGAAAATAAACAATACCTGTTGGATTTTACAGTTGCAGAGTGATCTATGAAATGAACACTTTTATGTTCCTCCACAAATAGATATCCTGTTGTGACATGTGATCTCTACCAAATATGATGAGATACAGGTTTCAATTCACCTCTTATAGAAGTTTAGTTTAATTGTGACTTGTTTTGTTATTTTTGTTTGATCACAGAGCAGGGACCAGCCAAGTGGGGATGTGCACAGAAAGCTGTCAGTACAGTTCCAGCCTGTCTCTTGTGGTCCTAAACATTCTGCTGTTGTCAGAAATGGAGATTTATACACCTGGGGTAGATCCCAGCAAGGGCGGTTAGTATCATATAAACAATCATTGTTTTAATGTGCCTATTCCGTGTGGGTTCTGGGGCCCCGTTTGGGGGAGGAGGGTGTATAGACCCACTGAACCCCTAGCAAGCATTTCATAAAAAGCAATTAACTAGGGATTTGCTGAAATAAAATATGTCAGGCTGAAAGGCACAGATATCGCCACCTAGCTGTAAACCACAACTACTGTTTTAATGGTCAATACAGAAGAAGTGTATGCGGGAGCTGTTTGAGCTCAGTTGCTAGATATTAACTTGTTGGCCTGAAGAACGTGATGATGTTTTTAATAATAGATCTAAGGATCTAGCTTTAAATGGGTACCCATAGATATCATGGGACGTAAAAATGAACTGTTTGATGTTGACTACATTACGCACCCATTGTCGATTAATTTGCAAATTTTGGGTCTAGCATCATATGCCCAGTGTTCCAATAGCATAGAAAAGATCCTTTATTTGTTATTTATATGTGTATATATCATAATCATATAGCAGGTCCTTTGCAGAACGTTGTTCTCATCAAGGTCTGCCTGAAAGAAACTTGGTCTCTTACCAGCTCTTCCGCCTCATGTACTCTCATACTCAAGGAGTCACTTATATCCTATGCCCATGTTTGTGTTGGTCGGCCCCTGCCCCTCCTTCCCGGTACCATGCCTTCTGCTATTATTTTTTACAATCTGTTGTGGCGCTTGATATGACCAAAATATTTCAGCTTCCCAAGACAGGATGCTGTTTATTAGCCAATCTTCCTCGATGTTCAGATCTTTCAAGATGTCAGTATTTCTCCTTGTATATATATGCACAGTGATTTATGTTGTAGACTTTTATCTTGATGAGTATGTAGATATTCTTCATGGCTTTTGCTTTTGATATAGTTACTATACAAGGTCATGAGTTCGGATCTGGAGCCGGGCTTTTTACAAAAACGACTTTGGCTCCCAGGTCGACCCAGCCTTGATTGGGTACCAAGTTCAGTCCTAGGAAGTAAAAGCGCATGTATTTTGCTGACCATATCACCCACTGAGTGCCAATTGGTCCATAAAATATAGGTCTAGCCCTAGATGCCATATACTAGTGAAATGTGTGGAAATGGGTCCTTTGCTTAGCTTTTGCTAGATATACTAAAACCACTGACAGAGAATGAACAAATGAAGAAGAAATAGGTGTCTATAAATGTTTGTTTACATGTTCAAAACAGAACAAAAAAGCATTACATGTTTTTGTGTGCTTGAATTAAACTGCTCAGATAAATTGTATAGATCACAACATAAAGGTATCAGATAGAATTAGCTGGAATCAAATATGAAATTTGGTTATTAAATGAGAACTGAAAGTTTATCTGTCAAATCATTACTTAAATTTGAGGTTTGATAAAGGCCTTCTTCACATCGGCAAATGGATCACCCATTTAGTTGTTTCCATTTCAGAAGTTTGCAGAACCAACTCAGCATTTTTTGGCTTTTTGTGATTTTACTAGGCAATTTTACATTTACTAGTTTGCCATTTTTACTGAACCACCAAAACCAACACAAGCAGGTCTGCAGCCAAATAGATTGCAGCTGGAAGAGTAAATTTAACATTGCACAGTTCTTATTTTAATGAGTTGTTTATCTCTTTATGTGTGAATATTTTGTATCTCTTTATTTGTGAATATTTGGTTTTTTTGTTGTTGAAATTATTAGAGGAGGTGGAGTGTCATAATTTTGGTTTTTGTATTTTTCCATTGAAAGACTTGGTCATGGTGAGTTATCTCAGAGTGTCTGCCCACCAATGCGAGTTGAAACTCTGCACATGTTGCAGCTGAAAGTGGATGCAGTAGCTTGTGGAAATGAGCACACTTTGGCCCTCACACAGCAAGGGGTGAGTTGTTAACACGCTTGTTTTATACATATAATAGATAATAGCTTGCTGTGCATGTTTTGGTAGCACAGGATTTTGGTCATATGTGTGAGATCATGTTAACGCTGTTGTGATGTTTATAAGGAGATACTCAGTAGCTTACCTCAGGTGTCAGCTGGCTCTGTTCAGGTTTTAAGGATCCTCATGCAAGACTTCTGCCACACATCCTTGTTGTGTGCTACAGATTTTTTTTTGTTATAAAAATTTTTTTTTAAATATCCAGAAACCATGAGTTCTTAACCCTTTGGCTCGGTACTGTGGATATTGCAACCCTTTGGCCTTGATTTCATGATAGGTACCGTAAATCTGGGAGAAATGTGGCTATCAGTTTAAACCGAGCTGGCAGGGGATCTCAGAGTTGCTGGCCCTGACTCATGCAGTGTCCAGAAATCCTCAGACTCATCAGCCTGCCCTCAATGCATGAGTGATAACATCCCTTAAAAAACTAATTTGAACATGAGTGAAACCTGCTATCTGAAGATTCTACGATATGACAAACATTGGTTCAAACGTTTCTTAAGCAAAAGTCCTGTTAAATTGTTGATTAGGCTTAAATGTCCGTTATTCATGTTTTGGGAGTGCAGAGGTGGATGTATAAAAGTTGATCTTTAGTGCAGGACAGCCTAGTATACGATACTACAACACCTAACATGAGAATGGAGGTGGTCACTGCAGCTTTCTGATGGCTAGAAAAGAAGATGAATACACATATCGTGATTCTAACTGAAAGCTTGCTAAAAAAGGGGAAGACAAGGATGCTTTGAGCAGAGTGGCGAGCTTCACTGGGAGGGTCACTGGTAGTGAGCATACTTTGGATCTTTTCTCAGGGCATGCCGGCGTGATAAATAATGAACAGGCAGACAGATTGGCTTGATCTGCACCACTGGGTGGTGAATAGATACATGACTAAGCAGATGTTTTCAAAGCCCTTTAGGAACAAGTAACGAAGTCAGAAGAGAAACAAGATTATAATGGCCTGGAGAGAATGATGCACCTGGGTGTAACAAGAAGGTCTGGCTGGTTCACTACATTCAGAGGAAAGACAAGACAGACATATCACCAGATTACAACCACTACCATTAGTATTGGAGCTCTGTGCTAACTGCTGAAGATAGAATGGAGCACACATGGGAATGCCCCAAGTGCTATGATGTCAGTTCTTTATTCAGCTCAACTCATGTGTTGGGGTGTTCTAGTTAGCTGAGCATGCAAAATTACTGCGAACTGTTGAGAACCCTAGACCAGAAGATTTGTTTATGAATTAGACTAGCAACGTCTCCTGCTGGCAGTAGTATCTGGCGATTTGGCCTTATCGCAAAAAGTAGCATGTGTGGATATCAAAAATCTTTATATTTGTAGTTTTACTGCAGTTCAGCGCGTTTCATTTTGTATTCAAAATAGTCAAGATATTATGTAAGCATTACCTGAAAATGTTACATGTTATGGTGGTCTAGAGAGAATGGTAATGGCGAGTACAGTTTCTGCGAGGGTGAAAACAGAACATTGAAAATGCATTGGCTATGAAAGCAAATAGGGCTGGAGGTTTGGCTAGAAAAAGAGAGATTTTCAGGTGTGCCGTGGTGAGAGCAGCATTCTGTAAAGGACCCGCTGATTGATGACAATGATTGCCTGAAAAAGCTGAAGAATGTCTTGTTTTAAAAACTGCTTGTTTTCATCAGGTGTATGGATGGGGTGGCTCCAAATATGGCCAGGTTGGTGTTGGAACTCGTCACATTTATAGGAGGCCAATGTTGCTTGAAACTCTGCAGTCAGAAACTGTAGTGGCAGTTGAGTGTGGACATTACCATTCTTTAGCACTTACTACAGATAATCAGTAAGTTTACATTCATTGCCATCATTTGTTAGATTCCCCGTGTGAGTTCCGGGGCCCCATTGTGGGGAAAACAAGAATAGACCCACTGCCTACTCAAAAGCATGTCATAAAAGTTGACTAATTGGGAGCTTCCTTTAAAGTCAGAGTGCATCTGCCTGAGAGGCAAGGAACCTACAGTCTGCATTCAAGTGAATCAGATCTGTAAAACTGATGCACACTCAACACTTAGGTTCTGGAGCAGGACTGCAGTCCAGGAGTGGACGAATAACCAGAACTTTCCGCCAGAGTGTACAGCTGGTGAACGCGAAGAAGAAGAAGATTTGTTAGATAACTTTTGGCTCTAACCACTGTTTGCATTCTGTCTGGTCTACATTCATGTTGTTTTTTGTTTTTAAGACATTATATTATGAGCATGTGTATCAGAAATTAGGATAAGAGCAGAATTGGCAGGGCAAAGGTAACATTTCAGAAGATGATAAGTATCTTTTAAAATAAATCACTGTCATTAAACATTTAAATAAAAACGAGTACTTGAATGTTATATCCAGACTGTTCTGTTGTATGGCACTGAGTCCTGTAATGTGAGCAAACAAATTAAGAAGAGTTTGAAGACAACTAAAATGTAATTCTTGAGAAGAATGTTGAGAATACCTAGGACTGCCAGAATAACTAAGAATGAATGCCTGGAAATGGCTAATGAAAGTAGGACATTATATACAAGAATGAGAAGGAGACAAAGTTCTTTGATCATGTGAGAGAAAAGGGGCACTGGGAAATATTGTGACAACTAAAAAAATTCACTGGTAAAAGAGGCAGAGACCAAAAGAAATAATTGTGAATGGCTTAAGACAGTGACATGGAGGAATATCATCAGTGGAATTGATCCAGAACACCAAAGGCCGAGATCTGTGGAGATGCATGAACACCTACGCCAGCTGGCAAGGCACTTAATGATGACAATATTATGAGCTTGTGTTTTTTTTTTTTTGAATTGAAAACTAAGCAGCATTTGCATGGAAACCCCTAAAATAGTATCAGGTAATGTCCTAAGTAGTAAAGTCGGCCTTCTTGATGTTTACTTCGTCCCCTCATTGAGGGGCAGTAGGTTAGTAGAGAAAGAAGTCTTGAATTTCATGCTGTATGCATGTCTGGCATATAAAAAAGATTTGGGGGCGGGGTGGGGGGTGGGGGGAAGTTGTTTCAGTTACTTGCATGAGAAGCAAACAGTTACACAGGATATTATCATATCAGACTTTATGAACATGCTACACAAAATCACTGTCAATTATTCAGAGGCTTCTGGTTCAATATAGCTGATAGGCAGACTGTTCGTTAAATTCATGGCATATTATTTGCTTCTGGTTATGGTCTTCTGTGACATTTTTCCTCTATATGTAGACTGAAAGTACAGCAGTAGTAGTAACATTTTGGTCCGCCAAAAAGAGAGAGACTTACCTTCCCATTCATGCCTCATCAGGTCGCAGGGCCTCTCCTATGTTGTGTGGGTGGGAAGAGGTTGTTAAATGATAGTGCTTCGGGCAGCATTGGCTCACCGTATATGTTTCTGGGAGGTAGTGTTATCGAGAGTTTTTTTTTGAGGCAGCAGGCACCTGTGTACAAGTAAGAAGTACTGCATGGGGGAGCGCTGCAGGTGCGATGGTTTGTGAGTATCGAAACTGGGATGTTTTTGTATTTCTACGTTCATTGGCAGGTGGCTTTTTCTCCTCTCCCCCCCCCCCCCCCACCCCAAAAAAAAAAAGCCACTGACAAGGAATGTAGAAATAGAAAAACATCAGTTTCTATAGTCTTGAACCAACGTGCAAGTAGCAGAACATGAAAATAATCACACAGGAGTGGTGACAACACGAGAAAAGAGAGAATAAGGAACACATGACACCCCCCACAACATAGAAGAGACCCTGCGACCCATCCAGGCATGAATGGTTGTCACTCTCTAGTTGCTGGCCAAAATGTTATTAGCACCGAAAGTACAGTTTTATTGTTACTTGAGTGCATGTTGCAACACTATGAGCTGTGTAAAAGTCTGTTGATTTTGCAGATATCTAAAAATTATTTTGTTTTTGCAATTTTCATTGTGAATTTATTCTTTGAATATGCATTATCTGTTATCCTTTAGTCATAGGAAAAAATAACATTTGTTTGAGGTTTTGAACTTCTGTAGATATTATTGAAATATTTGAATTCTTCCTGTTACCCTGCCCTTTGTCTTCTTAATATTTTTTAAGAAAACTAGAACCTTAAATATTTTTTTACTAACATTCTGTTACCAGTGCCAAACATAAACAGTAACCCAAAGAAAAACCCAGAAAAAATTGAAAACACAGATATGAAATGTCTATGATGAATCCTAAATGTAATCAGAAGAGCCAGGAGCAGAAGTCACAATATCAGGAAAGAAGTTGGGATAGAGCCAGTACTAAACTATACCAAGAGACAACAGATCAAATGGTTTGAACATGTGTCAAAACAATCAGATAGTGCACCACAGGGAGCCCAGTCACTTAGACATAATGGAAGCAGATTGAGAGGTTGACCACGCATGCGATGCATAGCTGGAATATCTGAGGCCACAAATGCTGGCATCTACATAGCACATGCAAAGGCTTGCACTTGACACCTCTTGAAAACCTGCCGCTGAAATGCGGAACAGGACAAGAGACTTTTTCGTCTTCTTTGCGTTTACCAGTTGTAAACTCCAGCAAAAAGTTTTGGCTGTTAGTCCACTTCTGGACTGTAGTCCTGTTTCAGAACCTTAGTGTTGTGTGCACATCTGTTTAACAAATATGAGTCCTTTGTATGCAGACTGCTATTTCCTTGTCTCTCAGGCAAATGCACTCAGACTTCGAAGGGAGCTTTCAATTAGTCGACTCTTACAACATGCTTTTAGGTAGGCAGTGGGACTGTTCTTGTTTTCCCTACAGTAGCGCCTCACACAGGGTGGACTAGAGACAAAGAAGAAGAAGAAGTGAAAACTTAAATAAATGCTTTATCAATTGTCTTGTACTTCTTGCTAGGGTTTACTCATGGGGATGGGGTGTGCATGGTCAGCTGGGGCATGGTCACCCCGAGGACTGCCTGATACCCACACATGTCCACCACCTGATGAATGTGGCAGTGGTCAAGTTGTCAGCGGGCTATGCTCACACTTTAGTCCTCACTGAATTGGTGAGTTCCATTTTGACACATTATTGGTTGTTCTGTTTTCATTCTACATAAAGGAATAGGTAATTTCATTATGCCTAGTGTCACAGGGGTGTAAAGATGAAATTTTAAATATACACTGGTACTTATAACTATTTTCCACTTTTTTTTAGGGGTAGGGGATGTACAACAGAGACTGACTGACTGACAGATATTTTACCCCACCAAGACATCATACTGAGCGATAAACATCCTGGTGACACAAAATGCCACCATTCAGATGAGGATCACCCATGAAGAGGTCCCAGAAAGCCTGTTCAACCCATAGGCTGGTTATATTAGGGCCCCTGCAACAACCAGGGTGGGGCATCAAAATATTGAAAAATTCGTCCCACATGGGTACGCAGAGTACACAGAGGATAAGAATTTAGGGCCGAATGGCTGGTGCAATTGCCACAGACTGTGCAGGTTAGCATTTTATTTTTTTGGCCCCTTGGCATACCAGGAGCAACAGCTAAACATATTAAACATGTGAAATCTATGAAGAATACTTGGCAAGACCAGATCACAGTTACTGAAGTATTGGAATAAGCTGGCTTTACAGCAGTTGACTCAGTGCTCAGTCTTTGAAGGCTCACATAGCTCTTGCTAGTCACACTCACCATCGCCATAGGCTGTGAGTCCCATGCCTCCTCATAATGCAATATAACACTATCATCTGGAAAGACGGAAAACTACCAGTCAATCACATGACAATATGACACATAAACCTATATCTATGTTATTAGTTATACTGAAAGAAACATAATGCTTTTACTATTGTTAGATAATGTGCTGCAATTATTATACTGTAGTGCTAACAATTTCGTAATGCCGGGATGCCGGGTTCGATCCCAGCTGTGGGCCATGCGCCTTGCGTTGGTTTCGACAGTGGTATCAAGAAAGCCGACCATCCAGAAAGAAATGGCAAACTACTGCCTAGAAAAACCACACAACAGCCAGGGACTGTTGGGGTTGGTTCTGCAATGTCCTGTAAAAGATACGCAACTAACCTAGTGCTAAAAATATGTGATTAGATAGTACAGTATGTGTAACATTTCGTGAAAATATGTTGTCTAAATCTACATCTGTTGTTTTCATTTAGGGAGATGTCTGGACATTTGGTTGTGGTTACTTTGGGCAGCTTGGTTTGGGGACCAACAGTAAATCGTCAGTGCCACAGAAGGTCAATCTGTCAGAAGGACAAATTGTGGCTATCGGCACTAAGTATTTTCATTCTGTAAGTTATTTCTGAATGTGTCAAATATAATAGTCTATCTAATTGAAAGTGGAAAAATAATAGAAAAAATCTAAACAATTATGACTTTTAGGCCACTATTCATTGCCTATAACTGCTTGTACCATTTAACCTTTATCCTGTTTTATATATAAATATCGGCTATCCTCCTAACCTTTGGCACTAAAGAGGCGGGCTCGAAAGGATATTTTGCGGCCGCCATCTTTAGTGCCCGAAGTTCTGAGGATAGCCTAAATATCTGGTAATCTGGTAATCTTAGTTTCAGTTTCATATATATATAAATATATGTGTGTGTGCGCGCATGTGTGCTCTCCCTCTCTCTCTCTCTCTCTCTATATTTTTTTCTCAAACTTGGACATGTAATAACAGGTGATGGCAAAAGTTAAATAGAAATCATAAGAGAAAATAGAAATTGCTAAAAACATTTTGAATAACATGTGAAAATCATTGCAGCCTAAGAGAAACAACATCGGGGAGTCCATTCAGAGAGCTAAGGCTGAGAGAACAGAATTGCATTGGATGTAATTGGACCTCGGCAACGCCTGTGGGGCTATATTCCATAAGTTGTTGTGGCAGGCCCTTCGCATGTTGCACATACCGACACAGATCACCAAAAGGATGGAGCAATATTTCTCAAAGTTTGCCATATGCTTCTCTACCCCCACGTTTACTATGAGGTGGGCGGAGCTCCAGGTTTGGATAGCAATGGGGTGTATGATTGTTATAGCAATGGGGTGTATGATTGTTATAGCAATGGGGTGTATGATTGTTATAGCAATGGGGTGTATGATTGTTATAGCAATGGGGTGTAAGATTCGAAGTTATCTGATAAAATATAAGTCTGCCGTATACATGAGTCACTGTCAACAGGCCTGCTTGCTATCGATCAGTGCAGGCTGATCGGGAAGTTCAAGGTGTCATGTCTCCATTTCATGTTGATTCCATATCTCCTGCGGCCGCTGCTAGTGTACAAGGTTAGCACGAATGCAGCGAAGGTGATGGAGCGGAAAATCAACACCACCATGAGGAAGTCGCTCAGAACGCGGTCTGACCGACATGGCTTTATATTGTAAACAGGCTAAGCTGGTGCTTCCATTCAAATCAATAACCGAAGAGTTTAAAGTTGGCAAGATAAGACCCACTGTGATGTTGCATGAGTCTTCAGACACCACAGTGGCCGCTGTCTAGCCCACTGTAAAGACATGTATGAAATGGAAGGTCGAAGATGTGATAGAATCTGCTCAGAAAACATTGAAATTAAGGGAAATCATGGGTTACACACAAACCGACCAACACAGCTTAGGGCAAGGGAAAGTCATGCCGTGGTCTAAAGCTTTGCTCAAAGAACGCAGAGACATTGTAATACAGCAGATCAGGGTCTTCGAAAATGAGATTTGGGTCTAAAAAGCCACTCAGCAGTCACAGCAAGGCCAGCGGATCAGCCTCGAGAATGCCTTGCCACGATAACTTACATAGAGTGAGATCTGGCGAATGGCCCCGCTGCAGCTGAGCTTTGTCATAAGATGTTACCGTCTGGCACCAACATGGCCAAGTGGCATACAACCACCCACCCAACATTTCCTCTATACAGTGCTAAGCAGACAGTAAAACTCTTGGCCATCGAGGTAGGTGCAAGAGGACTCAACTCCACCCCCACACACAGTGTAGGCGTGGAAAAGAGTCCCTTACTTTAAAATGTAACCCTTTCAGCCTTAGAGGGCACTAAATTGGCACATTTGTGTGTTACACAATCCTGAGTTCTGGTTTTTTTTTAAAGTTTCTGGGGGTGAAATGTTCAGCAAAATTTTTTTTCTTTTAAACTGAATTCACCAAATAGGCCAGCACTGTTCATATAAGTTTACTCGGGGCCAGAATGTTGAATATGGAGCCAGATGCCTGAGCCCTAACAAAACAAAATATAATTAATACAAAGTGGTTAGTAATGATCCGCGGGCCACTTGCTAGTCGTCTGTAGACCAGTTTTGGCCTGCAGGCCCACAGTTGAATAGCCCTGGAATAGGCCATAATATTTCATGTATTCATAAGTAATTCCTCTTTTAGCATTTTTTGCTAATCCAGTCTAATCCTGTTTTGAATATGTTGGTTTGGTTACTGAATATGTTGGTTTGGTTACTCAATATGTTGGTTAATTTGAATTATTTCAAAATTGTGTTTCAGGTTGCTGTGTCTGCAAATAACAAAGTGTTCCTTTGGGGCCTACATCCACACAATTTAAGGCAAGTGGCCTCATCCTTAAGGGGCTCAAAACATGCTGGGATGTATGTTCCAGAGCAGACTTCATTCCTTCATCCTGCAGAGGTTGACACAACCTACGTCCATGGCAAGATTACAAAAGTAAATTTCAGTCATGTTTGTATGCAGAACTTACATATGTTAAGAAAAAATATAAAAAAGTATATTAGCAAGCTTTACAGTATAACAAATACAAAGTGTGAGCGTTGGGCCTATGGAGCCTTCATTAGCACATACAAATCAAACAATACTACACTAATACACAAAACCACTTAGCTGGTATCTTGAAGCAGCCGGGTCGAGGTTTCTCAGCAGACTTAAATATGATAATATTTGTCTAACGACAGATGCCTTCCAGCAAAAACAGCAAATGATTAATAGCATCTTTATCTACACTTTGTTCTATCAGTGCCAGAAACTGACAGTCACTAGATCATAGGAACAGAAAATAACCACCAGCAAAATGTGCTAGCCCTGAAAGGTCACCAGCGACACAAGAAGTTGACATGGTCATGATTGCTGGCATTAGAGAGACAGTTCGCACAAGACTGTGCGTCGAAAGGCAGAGAGTGAAGTTGTTTGGCCACTTTTAAAACTCATGCCAAGTTCTTTGTGGATTTGTTTCCACTCAACAACTGAAGTTACCTGTGGAATGAGACAACCATTTCTACTTAATTGCCTCATACAACATGAATGTTAATTTGCACTGTTGCCTCTTCTTCTCCTCCTCCTCCTCCTCCACATTCTTCTCCTTCTCCTTCTTTAAATTTCTAAGTGATTCTGATTTGAGGGAGAAATAGAAAAAGTGCATACCACGTAAAGAATATTCCGGTTAAATACACAACGTGGTATGTCCTTGTCATAATTTTCATCCCTGTGATAGGACTGTATCTGATAAATATTAGATAAATTTGATGTTGAACATGAGTTTCCCAGAATGCATCCTATTTAAAATCAAACGTGTCTGTTTGTGTTTCCTGATCAGCCAGCCGACTTATCATTTGTGCACAATCAGTGAAAGCAGACATTGCACCATCAATATTTGTTAGTGTATAAGTTTTATCAGACGTGTGTAGAAGTTTATCTTGAAAATAAACGTTTTGATTGTGAAGATCTTGACTAGATTATTATTACTAAAAGTAAATTGGAAAGATGGTCACAACTAGAAAATCTACAGATTCATTACAACGAGACTGACCCTCCTACATCTCCGAACAGCGTCAGTGATTTATTAGAAGCCTGCATGAAAACTCAACACATTTTCAGCAACAAGGATATGAAATTGCTTCAGATAATCAACATTGTTCAAGAGTGTGGCTTTACTGTTTTAGCAGTAATTGTAGACAACTACTTTGTTAACCGCAAAGTTTACAACAATTTTCTCAAGTCCAACTGTACCTGCATAAAAAATTCCAGGCATTCAGAAGTTTTGCATGCAGCATCCACCTCAAACTGTATTTAACCGGGAGAAGTTTTGCATGCAGCATCTACCTCAGACTGTACTGTACCAGCAGAAGTTTTGCATGCAGCATCTACCTCAGACTACTGTACTGTCTTAGCAGAAGTTTTGCATGCAGCCTCTACCTCAGACTGTACTGCAGCAGCAGAAGTTTTGCATGCAGCATCTACCTCAGACTGTACTGTACCAGCAGAAGTTTTGCATGCAGCATCCACCTCAAACTGTACTGCACCAGCAGAGGTTTTGCATGCAGCATCCACCTCAAACTGTATTTAACCGGGAGAAGTTTTGCATGCAGCATCTACCTCAGACTGTACTGTACCAGCAGAAGTTTTGCATGCAGCATCTACCTCAGACTACTGTACTGTCTTAGCAGAAGTTTTGCATGCAGCCTCTACCTCAGGCTGTACTGCAGCAGCAGAAGTTTTGCATGCAGCATCTACCTCAGACTGTACTGTACCAGCAGAAGTTTTGCATGCAGCATCCACCTCAAACTGTACTGCACCAGCAGAGGTTTTGCATGTAGCATCCACCTCAGACTGTGCTGCACCAGCAGAAGTTTTGCATGCAGCATCTACCTCAGACTGTACTGCACCAGCAGAAGTTTTGCATGTAGCATCCACCTCAGACTGTGCTGCACTAGCAGAAGTTTTGCATGCAGCATCTACCTCAGACTGTACTGCACCAGCAGAAGTTTTGCATGTAGCATCCACCTCAGACTGTGCTGCACCAGCAGAAGTTTTGCATGCAGCATCTACCTCAGACTGTACTGCACCAGCAGAAGTTTTGCATGCAGCATCTACCTCAGGCTGTACTGTACCAGCAGAAGTTTTGCATGCAGCATCTACCTCAGACTACTGTACTGTACCAGCAGAAGTTTTGCATGCAGCATCCACCTCAGGCTGTACTGTACCAGCAGAAGTTTTGCAGGCAGCATCCACCACAGGCTGTACTGTACCAGCAGAAGTTTTGCATGCAGCATCCACCTCAGGCTGTACTGTACCAGCATAAGTTTTGCATGCAGCATCTACCTCAGACTGTACTGCACCAGCAGAAGTTTTGCATGTAACATCTACCTCAGGCTGTACTGTACCAGCAGAAGTTTTGCATGTAGCATCCACCTCAGACTACTGTACTGCACCAGCAAAAGTTTTGCATGCAGCATCTACCTCAGACTGTACTGCACCAGCAGAAGTTTTGCATGCAGCATCTACCTCAGACTGTACTGCACCAGCAGAAATTTTGCATGTAACATCTACCTCAGAGTGAACTGTACCGGCAGAAGTTTTGCATGTAGCATCCACCTCAGACTACTGTACTGCACCAGCAGAGGTTTTGCATGTAGCATCTACCTCAGACTACTGTACTGCACCAGCAGAAGTTTTGTACGCAGAATCTACCTCAAACTGTTCACACCTGGAGCAACTGTATCTCCACTGTATCATGTATTTTTAAACAATTAACCACAAATTCACAATGAAAAAGAACTGATTTCCTATCACAATAGGAAACTTGACAAATCTAAATTAAATTTCTTCGGTAGACACTGATTTTTGCCCTCTCTCATCTAAAAACATACATGTATGTCTGTGTACATCGTGACTTGTATAAAGTACAGAGAAGAAATATTTAAAATATTAATGATTAATTATGAAAATTGCTCTAGAAGAAAAACTATGGCTTTCATACTGACTATGCATACGCATTATAAGTGCTGCACCTTCATTGTGGATACACTATATCAAGATTATTTAGAGCAGTCTCTGGATAAGTGAGGAAAAAAAACATCTTCATAATTTACTAACTAACCTCTCACAGAAAGTTACTTGCCTCTTTACTAATTATTAACTTAGAGTATAATTATATGGTGAAGCAGTGTACTAATATTAATCCTAAACCATTTGTGTTCATTTTTGTGAATCATCTTATGCTTTACGATCTCTGGCTGTAAACTCAGGCAGAAATTTCTGGTTGTTATCTACTTCTGGGCTTTAGTCTTGTTCCAGACACTGTTTGTTGCATGCACATAAGTTATACAGATTTGACCTAATTGTATGCAGACTGCTGTTTTTTGCCTCTTAGACAAACACATTCCGATTTAGAAGAAAGCTACAATGAGTCAACTCATACTACATGCTCGTTGAGGTGGCGAGTTTTTTCTTTTCTTTTCAAATTTTTTTTTTTTTTTACGTGACACAATATTTACATGGGGAATTTTTGTGTTTGATATATGTATATTTGCAGTTGTGTGGTCTGTTTTAATATGCTTCACTTACCTTTAAAATAATATACCATTCATGATACTATACGTGTTGTTGTATGCAGTATTAAAAAATATGTGTGGTGTATTTAAACATTTACCAAAAAATTATGTTATAGTGAACTGATTTCATCCAACAAGATAAAACTGTTTGTGCTGTTTGAGGATAAATATTTAGTAGTGCTATAGTACTGTTAAGAAAGCTGCTCTAGGTGAACAATTATTGCACACTTCAATTTCATATTGACTGTTCATAACAAAAAATGTTTGTAATTTCCTAAACTTTTTTAAGCAAGTAAACTGCTTGTTTACTAATTATTTGCTAACAATCTACTACTACTAATAATAATAACCATCAATCATTGATATTCATGTTATGTAAGATATGTGTAAGTTTCACAGCAGTATTTTCAAGTGCTAAATTTGATAAAGTACAAATGCCCCCCCCCCCCCCCCCCTCTCCCCTGGTTCTCTAATGCAATATCCCCTCAGAATAAAAGAGTTAGCACTAATATTTCTTTACTTTTGCTGGAATAACATCCAGTTTATTTATACCTGTTATTGATGTTCATGTTGACTGTAGCAAAAGCATTTTTGTTTGTCTGTTAGAGCCTTCATAGTTATATTTTAATAGCGCACTTTTTTACCTTCAAAATGACATATAATTCTATAAAATATGTTGCAAATTAACGAAACTATTTTAATCTGTGTATACATACATCTCCTCAATAAAAACTGTGAAAACAGAACGGTCCCCTCGGCTTGCACAAGAACGGGAATTCCCGTTGACCTAGTTGGCCTATAAATAGAGTTGACCGTGATTAAAAGTACACGAGACAGAAGGTTGTGGAGAGACGTGACTACCAATGCCATATGGCATGGACTTTAATAATAAGAAGAAGAAATTCATGCACTGGTGATTTTGCTTGTATCTGTCTTGAACGTTATGGGAGGTCGAGAAGTTACTATGTTCTTTCAGAGTAAGCTGCTCTTATTTCCAGGTCTGTTGTGGCAGTCTCCATACAATCCTTTTAACAGACGATGGAGGTTTGTTTGTTTGGGGCAGAAATTTAGAAGGCCAGCTTGGCACAGGCACCAGACAAGATGAGGTTTGTAACATGTGATTCCTTTCTTTCTTTTTATACTTCCTCTCACTTTTGTGATGTTGTGTTCCTTATGTATTCATTCCATTAAAGAAACTACATTCTATTTAGGGTATATTTTTGTAGACTCATGCTTAGATCTTTTCACATGGACTTGGACTTCTAGTTATTCCCCCTGGTCTCTGGGTAGTGAGATTGGACGCCCGTGTGCATTGTTGCGCAAATTAAAAAATCCTTTGGTAGTTGGAAATCGAAAAGAGTAGCATAACAGCGCTTCCCTGGCAAAATTTGGATTTTAAAATCTACCCAAAGTTTTTTAAGATCCTAGCTAGTGCTAGCCTGCGCACTGTGCTGAGCTTCTTCGGACTCAGACTTGAGTTAGAAGAAGATTGGAGCACTTATGGGTTACTACCTGTGTGCCATGATGTTGATCCTTTGTTCAAAACCATGTAGTCTCATTTATTTCATAACCAGAAAAACCATTAAAAAAAGGTAAGAATGGCCGCAGCACCATGAAGAAGCCTTAGAAGTATGCAAAACTTATCAATGTTAACCTACAGCAGGATATTCAACTGAGTTTACTCAAGAGGCTACAGTTTAGAAAATGGGCATCATCACAGACCAGAGGCCAGAGCCCCAACATAGAAAGATCATTAATACACTACAACTGGCAGTGAGCGGTAGGCCACTTGCTAGGCCTCCCCAGGCTGCCGGTTGAATATCCCTGACCTAAAGGAATACAAAATTCTGAAATCAGCACCAGTCAAGGGAGCTATAGAAAACAAAGAAAGCAACATTAAGAGCTAAATAAATATAGAAAGGTTTATTGAAGTCAAGATAATCAACTTCCTTGCACTGGGTTTTATTCTGTCGATTCCGCAGAACATAGAGTCTTGAACAAAGTAAGAGCATAGCTCCTCAGGAATCTATGTAAAAATGTCCCCCATGAACTGAACAGTGCAGAGATGAAATAAACCCATAAGCTGCAGAGCATGAGGCATAAATGTTGAACAGGCACCACAGAAACTCCACATATCATCAGTTAACATAATAGTTCACTGGGGCCAGTAGCATAATTCTTGACAGTCACACACATGCATAATCAGTTAGCATACCCCGGGAGTGAGTGAAGTTGAACCCCCACTAAAAGTCACTGTTTGAATGAGAATCCTTCCAGGTAAAAATTCTAGAAACCCCATTTGACTGTAAGGTAATGTTAGGGCCTCTGACAGTTATGAACCTAATCTGAAGTCTAAACAGGGTAGCAAACCCCAGGAAATGAAAATTAAGTGAGTATTGTGCTGGCTGTAATGAAACAAAAACTAAGATTTGTGATAAAAGGATAGCAAGATAAAGACGACCAAGAGAATACATATGACTGTCAAATAGGCAAATTTGTTCTTCCATTGCTTCCACTATTTGAGAGAACAGAATATGACATGTACTGTTGTTGTTGTATAGAGATTGTGCGCTGCATCTCATGTTGTGTGTTGTTTGTTTTTTAGCGAGTACCCAAGATGTTAACATCCATCAATGACCAACACATCATTTCAGTGGCCAGTGGTGGCGAGTTTAACATCGCCTTTGATGCTGAAGGAGGTCTTTGGGTTTGGGGTAAAAATGAATCAGGACAGGTACAGCATGACAAATAATTGTGCCCGTTGCTTCAGTTAGCCTTAATTATGTGTCAGCATTGTTAATTAAATGGTCTTTTTTGTTTTGTTTGGTTGCGTATCCTTTACAGGACGTTGCAGTACCTACCCCAGCATTTAATGGCTGTTGTGGTTTTTCTAGGCAAATTTTACATTTAGTAGTTTGCCATTGCTTCTGAATGGTACCACTGTCGAAACCAGCACAGGACAAATCATCCGCAGCAGGGACCGAACTCGGCACCCTGGCGTTACGAAGCATGTTTGCAACGCCTAAGCCCTAGACACCGACTAAATGATCTTTCTGATGTGTATTATCATACAGTGATTGCTTGTGGGTTCTGGTGCCCCCATTTTGGCGGGAAGAGAATAGATTCACTGCCCCCTTTAAAAAAGTGTGTTGAAAATACATGTGAAATTGAATGTGTTAGGCAAAAAGGTGCAGATATGTCAACCTAGCTGTAAACCACAACACTGTCCCGCAAAAAGGTGCAGATATGTCAACCTAGCTGTAAACCACAACACAGTGTCCTGCAAAAAGGTGCAGATATGTCAACCTAGCTGTAAACCACAACACAGTGTCCTGCAAAAAAGTGCAGATATGTCAACCTAGCTGTAAACCACAACACAGTGTCCCACAAAAAGGTGCAGATATGTCCACCTAGCTGTAAACCACAACACAGTGTCCCGCAAAAAGATGCAGATATGTCAACCTAGCTGTAAACCACAACACAGTGTACCGCAAAAAGGTGCAGATATGTCAACCTAGCTGTAAACCACAACACAGTGTACCGCAAAAAGGTGCAGATATGTCCACCTAGCTGTAAACCACAACACAGTGTCCTGCAAAAAGGTGCAGATATGTCAACCTAGCTGTAAACCACAACACAGTGTACCGCAAAAAGGTGCAGATGTGTCAACCTAGCTGTAAACCATAACACAGTGTCCCGCAAAAGGGTGCAGATATGTCAACCTAGCTGTAAACCACAACACAGTGTCCCACAAAAAGGTGCAGATATGTCCACCTAGCTGTAAACCACAACACAGTGTCCCGCAAAAAGATGCAGATATGTCAACCTAGCTGTAAACCACAACACAGTGTACCGCAAAAAGGTGCAGATGTGTCAACCTAGCTGTAAACCACAACACAGTGGCCCAACAACCCCTATAAGGGCAAAGACAGAGGAAGATATAATGATCGTATAGTTACATAAAGGTAATCTCTCATACTAGAAGCAGCTGTTAGATAAAAAGAATGGGGAAGATTTTGGCCGAATTGCAATCGGTAGCAAAGGACATTGAAAGCCTTACTCCACTGGGGGGATACAAGATGGAACGAAAATCCCACAAATAAATTTTAAAGAGGTATTCAACTCTCACATTTGCTAGGTCCTAGGATAATAAGAGGGGGCTGCGTGGTTTCGAGGCATGGTGTCTGCCTCGAGTGCTGGAGGTTCTGGCTTCAATCCCTGGTAAGGGCTGGGATTTTTCACATGAACTTGGACCTAAAGTAATTCCCCCTGGTCTCTGGGTAGTGAGATTGGACACCCGTACGCTTTGTTGCACACGTAAAAAATCCTTTAGCAGTTGGAAATCGCAAAGAACAGCCTAATGGCGCTGCCCGTGCAAAATTTTGACTTAAAACTCCACCCAAAGTATTTCCTGATCCTCGCCGGTGTTACAGAGCCTGTGCACTGTGCTGAGCTTCTTCAGTCTCAGGCTTGAGTTAGAAGAAGAACGGAGCAATTTTGGGTTACTACCTATGTGCCAAGATGTTGATCCGTTGTTCAAACTACAAACAAACTATAATTTTTTTTAAATTAATATATCTTATGTGTATTTTTCTCTTTGGGTACTAATCGATTAATCCCTGTTCTTAACTCCTGTCCTTCCAGCTGGGTCATGCTAGAACTAAAAAAGACACCCAGAGGAACTACAGACTGTCTGCCCCAGGCCACTCCCGTGGCATCAGTTCTCAAGGTCATGGTTCTGAGATCAACACTCCATCGATGTTAAAGGGATTGCCTCAGTCAGATGTGTCTAACCCCCACTGGATTTCTGTGCTGGCTTCAATTCAGAATGAAAATTTATGGGTAAATATTCTCAGCAAATAAGTAAATCATATTTCTTCTTCTTCTTCTTTGCGTTCGGTTTCGTATGCTCAGATCAGACTATCAGGTGGGTTGCCTCTATGAACTCGCATGTCAGCTGCAGGTCCTGCATAGTTCCCCATAGCTTGCTCTGCACACTCTGCTCTTGAGGCCAGGTGTCTTTTCGAAGTTTCAAGTAGAGTGATCAGGTCTGCAGAATGTGCTGGGGTGTTTGGGGTCCTGTTTGACAGGCTCACTGTGGGGACTGTACAATCTTTATTTTATGCATGTGATAGTTGAGCCTGCAGTGTACTGTTCGTAGAGTCTGCTGATGGGGTCTTGTGGATGTTTACTATTAGTTTGTTCTGTCCACAATCCCTTGTATTTTCCCTTGATAAGTGTTCTGATTTCTGGTAATGACAATGAATGGGCGTGTTGTTTCTAAATCATATTTAAAATGTGGGATGAGCTCGATGCTAGGGAGCCGCTGTGGCGTAGCAGCCAGACGCTCACCTGCTGATCCAAAGGTTGTGGGTTTAAATCTGCATAGAGCCAGATTATTTTTTTTTTCAAACATGACTTTCCCTGCCAGCCTTAAATAGGTACCTGGTAAATACCTGTAAAGTAAAGGCGGTCGGCATGATGTGGACCACATCACCCATCAAAGGCTGATTGGTCTATAAAAATGTAAATCTAGCCCCATAAGCCTGATGCACCACTGTTGTGTAAAGAGATCTTTACTTGTTACAGTCGAACATTTTTAGGGTTGAGTATTTTTAGCAAGTTATTTGCTTCTAGCTATGGTTAGATGTTTCATTTTCTTCATATATTGACTCAAGGTATATAGTTCTTTCGCCCAGCTGCTGAGTTCATGGTGGGGCCTGACACTAAAAGCTGCTGATTTTATTTGGAAGACTTTCTGATTGTGCCTAATATGGTTTGTGTTGTGAACTTCAGATTCAGAAAAACTAAGTTACAACAAATGTACACAATGCGCGTGGACACCTTAGTTATAACCAGTGCTTCACAAACCAGCTGAAAGTGTAAATCTTTATTTTTTATTGGGCCTCAGTCGTAAGTAAATTGTGGATCTCTTTCCGGCGACTGCACCACATACCGTGGAAAAGCTTCCGCCGAGTTAAAGTCACCGTTGAGAGTTTTCCCTGCGCCACGCGGAGGGTGGTTAGGGGGGAGGGAGAGAGGCTGAACTAGATGGCTGGGACTCACGAGCAGCAGCTACCGCATTTCCTGCAGCTTCCTCCATTTTATTTGCTTGTGAGTCCCAGCCATCTAGTTAAGCCCCCCTCCACCCGCGCATAGCGTGGCGGAGGATACTCTCGGCGGTGGCGGTATAGTCGCCGAAAAGTGGTCTGCAATTTTCATACGACTGAGGCCCCGTTAGGGTATATTTCCTACCGCATCTCCTGCAGCTTCCTCCATTTTATTTGCTTATGAGTCTGCATGTAGCTGTGTGGGGGATACTTTCAGTGGTGGCGGTATAGTCGCCGGAAAGAGGGCAACAATTTACATATGACTGATGCCCTGTTATGGAATATTCCAGGCAGGAAGTGAAGAAGAGGTTGATGGTGCAAACGATGGACAGAGGGAATAACAGAGTATCTAGGAATCCCCATTTACAATGCGCACAAAAGGGGACTTTCCCATAGATACCAGAAGATCAAAATAAGATGAGATTGTGAAACTAAAGGCTAAAGAATGTGAATGCTTTCATTTGACTAATCCATCGTATCTCGTGCCATGTTATGTCACATAGGACTCACAGTGTAGTCATTCATTCACTTCTATCCTGTAGGGTCTTTCAATATCGTAGATGGAATTCAGTTCAGCACCTCTGGTGTCTTTCAGAAACATTCCAAAACACTTCCATAGTCTCATTTGTTTCTCATTTCATTGCCTGTCTGATGATTCTCTGTCCGCTTCTTCTCAGAATGTATTGATTTATTGCCTTTGAAGAGAATTGTAATTAAAGTACTTCTTATACATTACACATACAAGGTAATTAAAGTACATCTTATACATTCCACATATAAGGTAATTAAAGTACATCTTATACATTCCACATACAAGGTACTTAAAGTACATCTTATACATTCCACATACAAGGTAATTAAAGTACATCTTATACATTCCACATACAAGATGGACAATCTGGTGCTGGAGTCGGAGTACACATTAGACAACTTGCCTGACCTAGGAGATCTTGGTGCAGACGTGTATGACAGCTGTGTGGTACCAGTCACATTAAAGGTAATGTCGCTGGTCAGTTGTTTCTTTCTTGCGTTTAATATGACTTTGAAGAAGCCGAAACATTTCTGTTATTTCATCATCTTTTTTGAATTCATCCCATTTTATGTTCATCAATTTCCTTGGCAAATTGTTTTCAGATACATTTAAATTTCATTCTATCACTTTAGTGATTTTTCAACTTTCACTACCATATGTTAAATTTAAAAAAAAATATTAAAAAAACACACTTTAGAATTATATTAATGTTCATAGATTATTGAATTTGCACATTTCCCATGTTGAATTAAGAATCGACATCACATCACTCGGGACACTCCCAAAAGTGCTCCGTCCCCCATCTTCAGCAGCAAGCGAAGAATTCCAATTCCGATAGCACCTGTAGCCGTCTGATTGTTTATCCATCTCATCCTTGCCCCGACTGTTGAGCGTCGGCCACATCCCCTGGTAACTCCTCGCAGCGCCATTCTCCTCAGACCGTAATGATCTGCGCATCGGCACTGATCACTCATTCCCAAAGAGCCCTCAAAATATCTAGCTTGTCATACATCAGTTCACCACCAAGTGGTGCAGAACCAGCCAGTCTAACTGCCTGCTCATTTCCCAACACACCCGCATCACTTGGAGAATATATCCAAAGGATGCTAACTACCACTCTGCACGAAGCATGCCTGTCTTCATAGAGATTTCCCATGTCTTTTTTGAGCATGTACTATTATTTTTGTTGAAAATGAACCTAATACAAGATGCATGAAGGAAATGATGTTTGAAAGGAAAAAGGATAAGAAGAGCCGAATGTGCCCAGTTCTTTAACCCTTTGAATGTACAGTTTGTTTATCTATGGTCTGAAGTATATAAAGACCCACTTCATAGTCCAGTGGCTTTAAACATTTGCCATGAGAGGATCAACTTGATTGCACCAGGTATTAACCCATATAGCTCAGTCTCTGTCCGTAAAGCTGCTGTTTACCAGCTGAGAGTGTACCACAAAGCATGAAGTTCTGTAGCTCCACCAGTAACCACCATCGGTCAGTCAGTTGGTTGCCATTTCCATAGTGAAAGTCAACTGTAGTTGATAACCAGCATGCTCTTGTCTTTTGTGCTGGATGTACACTGTCTCACACTGTTCATTTATCTTGTGATGTTTTACTCCTTTTTATGTTGCTGTCTGCCTCTTGCTCATTTCCTTTAACTTTTCCCTTCAGTATGGCTTTTGTTGGGACACTATTGCCAACTGTCATAGCCTCAGGGATCTCGGAAACCTCTGCAACCATGATCTGAGAGATAATTCTTCTTGTTTACATTGACCAGCTGTAAACTTCAGCAGAAAGTTTTGGTTGTTCGTTAACCTCTGGATTTTAGTCTTGTTCCAGAACCTGCAAGTTGTTTGGATATCTGTTTTACAGATCTGACTTATTTGTATGCAGATTGTTAATTTCCCACCACTCAGGCAGATGCACACCAGCTCTGAAGCAAGCCTCTAATTAGTTGACTCTGACGACATGCTTTTGGGGGAGGCATTGGGTCTATTCTTGTTATCCTCACAGTTGGACCTAGGAGCCCACACAGGATGAGAGATAATTCAGAAATTAAATCCATGACTTTCAGAGAATAAGGCAGATATATACCTTCATTACTTTGCCTCAAAGACCTCCTGCCTCATTAGCAGCATCTTCTGTTGAGCTGCCTTCACTTTTACTCTAGTCCGAGCAGCTGTACACCTCAGGAAATAATGTTTCATTACATTGTAATATCCCTCCTATAGTATGCACCTAACAAGATATGGCAAAGTTTTTGAGGCAATACATTTTCCAGTATTTTGTTCGCACCTTCATTATTTCACCTGTGATGGAAAAATGTGGCTTGAAATATCATTCATCTGATAACAATGATATAAATTAGATGTTTCCATTTCCTGGTACATTCTAGACATTGGACAACATTTGTGAGACCAGTTTCTGCCTCCAAAAGAGTGTTGATCTAAGGGACTGGCAAACAGCTGGACATATTAGTAGTATTGAAGAGAACATAATACAGGTAAATACGGGCTCTAAGTTTAGATTACTCAGGTGTAAATATGTAGATTTTTTATTTAAATTCTGAAACGTTGAAGTATAATATTTGTCTCTTTGTCTTTGTTCCTGTATGATATTCTTCATAAAAATAATGAATTTAGATGTGTTTATTGCATTCGTTCGTTGGTTCGTCCATCACAAGTGATGAGGACCACTCTTTCTTTCATCCGTCATGAAACTGCACTTGAATGTTTGTGAGTCCAGAGGTGACTTATTAAGTTATATGTGCCCGGAAGAGTCTAGGACAATGAAGGCAGGGCACAGTGTCTGTAGAAAAAAGGCCTTACGAAAAAGTGACTAGCGTGATGAATTGGATTAGAGTGATGAAGAGTTGCACATTTGGCTTACATAAAAATAGACTGACTGACGTTTTACCAAGCGATTTCCTTCGAAGTCGTAGTGCATCTGCCTGAAAGGCAAGGAACCCACAGTCTGCATACAAATGAATCAGATATGTAAAATGGATGCACACACAACACTCAGTTTCTAGAACAGGACTGCAGTCTAAAAGTGGATGTTCAACCAGAACTTTCTGCCAGAGTTTATGACTGGTGAACGCGAAGAAGACACCAAGTGATAAACACCTGGTGATGCCAAGTGCCACCACTCGGATGAGGATGACCTGTGGAGAGGTCCCAGAAACCCCGTTCAACCGTTAAGTTGTATTCAAAATAACAAAACAATGGTGTCCTTCATGGGGACAACGGATGTATAATAGAAACAGAATCAGAACTGGCAACACCAATAAGACCTGGGAGGCAGAGGTCAATTTTGAAGGAAAAATTGCGACTCGTTGCGGATTTGAAACAACCACATAAATTTCCTAAGAATGATCTATCAGTCTGTGGTTTATTGTGGTGTGACATTTTGCAAATTTCGTACAGTCCTCAATGAGTAATAAAACATGCCCTAACATAGGTTTCATTAGGCAGTATTATACAGTACACAGATAATGTGAGAGTATCACGTGTGCACACCAACATTTGTGTTGCAGTAACAAACATTCTTTATGCTGTAGTGACATAGTTATTGCCGCACTTGCTAACCAACACGGTAGTCCCGGTTCAGTCTCCAGCTGCCTGTATGGGTTCTGGGGTACCATTGTTGGGAAAACAAGAATAGACCCACATCCTCCCCAACAAGCATGTCATAGGAGTCGACTAACCGGTGGCTTCCTTCAAAGTCGGAGTACATCCGCCTGAGAGGCAAGGAACCAACAGTCTGCCAGATGTGTGAAATGGATGTGCACGCAACATTAAGATATTGGATTTAAATAATGCGGACTCAAACAATACATTGCACAATTTATTGCCAGGCATATTTCACTGTATCTCGTCAAGTGCGTTACTACAGTGTTACATCAACATAAAATGAAGCACAAAACTGAATAAATCCAACTGAAATGCGAATAGTTTCTTCCGACACATCTTGTGCATTATTTGGCCACTGGAAGCTCACCGTAGTCACGTTACTGAACCCATTCAGATATTGGAACAAGACTAAAGTCTGAAGATGGACGAATACCCAGAATTTTCCGCCTGAGTGTACAGCCGGTTAACACACAAAAAGTCCCCAGAAAAAGCAGGTTTTTTTATTTTTCAATCAGTACAGCTCGGAGGTGTTGAGAAAAATCATGTCATGGATACTGAATTAATCTGCTTGTTAATCCTGGTCTAGACTTTTGCAGCTCTCCACAGACATACTGGAAACAGTTTCTCTTGGGGGGACCTGGCCAGTGTAGATAGGATTGATGTTTCCTTCGAAATTGGAGCACATCTGCCTGAAGGGCAAGGAGCCAACAGTCTGCACACTAATAAGCAAGATCTGAAAAATGGATGTGCATGCAGAACTCAGGTTCTGGAACGAAGACAAAAGTAGTCTGGAAGTTGACAAGCATCCAGGACTTTCTGCCAGAGTTTACAGCCGGTGAATGCAAAGAAGAACTAATCATAAAAATTTCTTCCTCTTCACATTCACCACCTGTAAACTCCAGCTGAAAGTTCTGTCTGTTTATCCCCTTCTAGACTTTACTTTGGATCCAGAACCTGAGTTTTGCGTGTGCATATCCGTTTTATAGATCTGGCTGAATTGTATGCGGCCTCGCCTCTCAGGCAGATGCACTCAGACTTCAAAGGAAATCCCTAATTAGTCTATTTTTACATCATGCCTGTTGGGAGGCCGTGGATCTACTCCCCTCCGCCTTCCCCAGTGGAGCCTCTGAACCCCTACAGGAGATAACTGTCTGAACTGTGTTCATATTTTTGCATTTCAGGCACTGTACTACAGACTGAGGGTGGTTACAGAGAGAATGGGTGAGATGGACCAGGAAGAGGTCATCAGTCTGTGGGCTCAGCTCATAGAACACCACATCAGGCAAGTGTTTTAGCATGAAGCAAGATATGCTATGCTTTATTCTATCACCTTAACCATTAAAAGGGCACTTGGCACACTGTGTTGTGTTTATAGCTGTGCTGCAGTTGTTTATAGCTGTGCTGCAGTTGTTTATAGCTGTGCTGCAGTTGTTTATGCCTTTAGGACCCACACTGCTTTCAGCAAAGCCATAATTAGTCACCTTCTATCACATATTTGTTGCCCGGCTCTATAGTGTAGTTGGTTAAACCTGACTTTCGTGGTGGCCGGGTGAGGAACTCCTTGTGGTCCGGGTTCACTCCCTGTGGTAGGCAGAAAAGCCATATTTCTCCCAGATTTACGATACCTATAATGGAATAAAGGCCGAAGGGTTGCGATATCCATAGTACCGAGCCAAAGGGTTAACAACTCATGGTTTCTGGATACTTAAAAAAAAAAAAATCACATACTTGTTAGGGAGGCAGTGGGTCTTGTGTTTTCCTCTCCTAAAATGGGACCCCAGAACATGCATGGAGAAATGTTGTACTGTTTCCTCACCTGCATGGGGAAATGTTGTACTGTTTCCTCACCTGCATGGGGAAATGTTGTACTGTTTCCTCACCTGCATGGGGAAAAGCTGTACTGTTTCCTCACCTGTATGGGGAAATATTGTACTGTTTCCTCACCTGCATGGGGAAATATTCTACTGTTTCCTCACCTGCATGGAGAAATATTGTACTGTTTCCTCACCTGCATGGGGAAATATTGTACTGTTTCCTCACCTGCATGGGGAAATATTGTACTGTTTCCTCACCTGCATGGGGAAATGTTGTACTGTTTTATCAAGTCTCTAACTCGTTAGAGCTGATTTAGACAAGCATTCGGGGGAGGGGAGGGGGGTTCCTTGACCTTTGGCTGTCCTTAGTCTACATATAAGGCCACAGGATTGTGTTTGTCTAGTTCGTATACTTTGACTGGTCTGACATTGGAGACCCAATGTCCCCATAATACTTAGGGGTCATTGAAACACACGAACCCATCTCCCACCCTATGATGTAGAGACACTTCTTTTTCTTAAAGTCCATGCGGTATGCGTTGGTAGTCATGTCTATCCACAACCTTCTGTCTTGTGTACTTTTAATTCTCTCTGATACAGATGATCTTCCATGCTATGATGTCAGACTGTCCAGCATTTGTTCTCTCAGTCTCTCTCGGCCTCTCCTACCCTCCAACTTTCCTACCGTCACATTGTACTCCATTTTTTTTCCTTCTCATTGTTTATCTATAAAACCACAGAGAGACACATCAAAAATTAAAACGTGTCATTTACATGTAAGTACGCTTGCCTGCTACATCAAGTAATTAATTACTGTAACACAATTTATGACTTTGAGATCTAACCAGAGGAAAAGGAAAAACCCACACAGATGCAAACTATTCGACCAAAGTCTTTATCAACAAATAAACAACAGGAATCCAACAGTGAAAGAGCTAGAATAGAAGTGTAAAGAAAAAAATAGGAACTAGAAAAACGTTTACTCAGACTTGAGTTAGAAGTAAAACGGAGCACTTATGGGTTACTACCCTTGTGCCATGATGTTGATCCATCAATTAAACCTAAACTGAAACAAACCATAAACAAAGGAACAATAACAGAGGAATGAATTGAGTAAAAATGGGAGAGAAAAAAAAAGTAGACAAATAAATAATTCAGTCCATAAGTGCTTATATCCGATCTTCAATATATCCCTCAGTATGAAGTCGCTGACAACCTTTCTGGCTTCCAGCATAGTGATCTTGTCTTGACTCCCACCTTTTTACTTGCTGTACTGAACTGCAAATGTCATGACCATGTATATTTGAAGTCTTGTTGCTAAACACATTACAACAGTGTCTGCCATGGACTTAACAACAAACACAGCTCTGCCTTGGAATTAACAACAGACACAAGTCTGCCATGGAATTAACAACAAACACAAGTCTGCCATGGAATTAACAACAAACACAAGTCTGCCATGGAATTAACAACAAACACAAGTCTGCTATGAAATTAACAACAAACACAAGTCTGCCATGGAATTAACAACAAACACAAGTCTGCCATGGAATTAACAACAAACACAAGTCTGCCATGGAATTAACAACAAACACAAGTCTGCTATGAAATTAACAACAAACACAAGTCTGCCATGGAATTAACAACAAACACAAGTCTGCCATGGAATTAACAACAAAAACAAGTCTGCCATGGAATTAACAACAAACACAAGTCTGCCATGGAATTAACAACAAACACAAGTCTGCCATGGAATTAACAACAAACACAAGTCTGCCATGGAATTAACAACAAACACAAGTCTGCCATGGAATTAACAACAAAAACAAGTCTGACATGGAATTAACAACAAACACAAGTCTGCCATGGAATTAACAACAAAAACAAGTCTGACATGGAATTAACAACAAACACAAGTCTGCTATGGAATTAACAACAGACACAAGTCTGCCATGGAATTAACAACAAACACAAGTCTGCTATGGAATTAACAACAAAAACAAGTCTGCCATGGAATTAACAACAGACACAAGTCTGCTATGGAATTAACAACAGACACAAGTCTGCCATGGAATTAACAACAAACACAAGACTTTTACAGGACTCTTCACATGCCATTGATTCATTTGGCATACTGTGCGAGTCCCATATTTGTATAGACCAATCAGTGTCTGATGGGTGATGTGGTCAGCATCATGTAAACAGCCTTTGCTTCCCACAATACCTGGCACACTTTTAAAGCTGGCTCAACCTGAGAGCTCATGCAATTCCTCCTCCTCCTCTTCTTTTTTACTTCCTCTTCTTCAGATGTTGAGGGAGAATACAAGGTTCTGCTTCTTTCTTTTGTGGCCGCCTGGACCATAGATGCATCATCTTATTGTAGAGTTTCTCTGATGTTATCTTTCCATCTTGTTTTTGGTACACCTTGTGCTCTACCTCTTTCTCTTTTGATGTATGCCTTATAGGGTATGTTGGTGCCTTTGGCTTTGGCGCTGCGAAGGTGCTTTGTAAGGCTGAGGTACCGGGTTCGATTCCTGCAGCAGGCGATTTGGCAGCAGACCCCTTGCATTGGTTTTGACACTGGTACTAAGAGCTGACTATTCAGAATGCAATGGCAGACCATTCAGAACGCAGTGGCAGACCATTCAGAACGCAATGGCAGACCATTCAGAACGCAATGGCATACCATTCAGAACGCAGTGGCAGACCATTCAGAATGCAATGGCAATCTACTGAACATAAATATGCCTAAATAAACCACAATAGCTACAAAAAATGTTGTGGTTGGTCTGCAGCGTCCTGTGAAGGATATGAAACTAACTTTTTTACCTTATATAGTTTGAAATCACAAGGCATTCTCTCCAGATGCGCAAAACATGGATTTGCTGTCTTTGTATGTAATTTAGATTTGGTCCTGTGCCTGACATTTTTTTTCCCTGTGACTTCATTTCTGATTTTTAACTTTTCTGGTCACGCCTGCATCCCTTCTGAGACATCTCATGTTCAGGTACCTGTAATTTATTTTGAAAAAGTGTCCTGATTTAGTTTTGAACCCATTACCATTGGGCCATCACAACAATTTTAACTACCTATTTGATACAGCCATACACTACTTTTTCTAAACAAATTAATTTTTTTTTTTGAAATAAATAAAAGTACAATATGGGGGCATGAATATGTTGACATTTTTGTGTGTGTGTGGTCAGGTTAGTACAAGAACTATCTCCTGAAACTGGCACAAATAAAGAACTGCAGCAACTGTGTAGTCATGTAAGTTCCCTTCTGCTGATTGTCATCTTGTTTTGTACTTTGAATTTTGATGTTTTGAAATGGTGTCAAACTTGGACAGTAAATAAGCAGTAAAACAGTTCAGTTGTGGCTCTTGAAAAGTGGATGTATAGAATAATAGTTCTTCGTGGAAACAAACGCATTCAGTATAGGTGTTCTGTAGAGACTGACGGCATTAAGAGAATGGCAGAAAAAAAAAAAAAGAGCAATTCGGGAAAGAAAACAGTGAAATATTTAAACTACATTGAAGGAAATAATACTGTTATAGAAACCATACTGAAGAAGAAAAAAAAAAAGACAGTATGGAAGATCAATTTCAGCCAACCTTTATTGTAAAGATGGCACTTTATTGATTGATTTTTAAATGTATCACATAGACCAAATCCATGAGTACTTTTATCTTTTATATTGTGGATTCTGCATGTGGGTTCCAAGGACCCAAATTTTTTTTTTTAAAGGAGAATTAGGAGTTTGCTAAAATCAGATGAGTTGGCCGAAAGTCAAAGATGTCACAGCTTTGCTGCAAATCACAACATTTTAAATATCACATATATCTTCTTCTTCTTTCATTTGCCTGAAATGAGCTGTCTGTCTCAGTAATTTTGTCTCTCCTATAAATTTTACTGTCGTTGTTAGTTCATTCAGTGGTCCATAGAGTTACATTTCACTGTTGTTCTTTCCGGCCAAAAGATTTGCTTTAGTGTTTCAAATTAGGTGCGGTCCTGGAGTACAAGTTCTGCTGTCTTTCCACAGGTGCATGTGGCTGATACACTATCTTGAATTTTGTGTACATGAGATCAGATGTATGAAAAGACATACTGACATCCTAAAAGATTGGAACATCAAGGAAGATTGGCTGGTAAACAGCATCTTGTCCCGGAAGTTGAAATATTTTGGCCATACCAAGCACCATGGCACCAGAAAAGAAGGGCAGGGTCTGACCAGCAAGAAGGCGGAAACATGATATAAGTGACACCCTGGGTAGGCTGGTCAATTTTGGCCTTCCAGTCTGCAAATGCAGGTGATTCAGGGATTTCAGAGGAAAGGGAGGGGGGGGGGGGGATTATTGCTGGCGTGTTACCCTTTTGTGTGGCACTCTCAGCATCTGCTGTATCTAGAGAGACCAAGCCTTATAGCTTTTTTTTTCTAGAAAAAAGGTGTCGAACTCACCACAAAGTTTATTAAAGAAAAGGTACCTGTACTAACCACAAAGTGAATATTACAATAGTACTGAATGCTGACAAAATGATGCGTGACAGTGCCCTAAGAGAATGGAGAAATGTCCGCTAAGGAGTACTACAAAGTGATGAAGACACACACTTGAGCATAAAGACAGTTAGATTTCTATCAGGAAATAAAGGTTTTGAAACTAATTTCGCTTCATACCTTGAAAATGAAAACACAATGCCAAAAGTTCTGTCTCAAGCTTAGGTTTTAAGCCCAACAGATGGTGTGCAAATGGCAGAGTCTCATTCCCAGTTCTAGAATCAACCCTTTTATAACTTCTTCTAAGCTCCTCCTACATTACTCCTAAAACCACTCTCATTCAAGGATGTCACAGCTCCTCCCCGTGGGTAAGTCTATTCACTGTCAGTCAAGACTGTACAAAACTTGTTTGCTTTCCCACGGCTACATTCTCCTGGTCCATCAAGCTGACCAGAGCTAATAAACAAAGAGACAAAGTCACACCTCCCATCCCTTCTTCTACCTGCCATCACCTGTATCAGACCGTGTCAATATTGGCGATCTGGCCTGCACTAAAGTTGGGTAACCTCAGGGGGAGATAATTACAATTAGCCTGAGTTATCTGCTCCTCAAGGTCTGGCTTGGAGATAAATATCTGACACTTCAGTTCTGCAAGCAGAATCTCCAGCCAACAAGTCTGAGCTTGGTCAGTCTTATCTCTGTACCTTAACACTTTACAACTGGGAAAAAGTCTCAGTGTTTGATATTACCAGCAGTCCAGGGGAATTAAATGTTTGTCCAGGTCACCTTACTTAGATTAAGGATGCATCCAAAACCATATTTTTCTGTATACTTTAAAATACATAGAAATAAAAGTAGGTTGAGGAAAGACATTCTGAAGTCACCGAGCGTCTCGTCACAATCCACTAAATGCAAACTGTTTCTTAACAAGGGGGTCCTGTACTTACATAATAGTAATTAAATAATTATTTCTGATCTAAGGTTATGATTTTCTGTAATCTTCTTTATTTAGATATGATTTATATTTCTCTGTATGCTAATGAATATTTCCTTTTCTGATTTAGGCTTTCTACTGTTGGCAGATGTATAACTTCCCAATTGAGAAGCTAGAGACTATTTTTTCTGAACATCTGCCTAAGCTGGCACCTTGGCTTGTTGAGGTAGTACTGAGGTATAATATATTACATATAATATATTATTATATAGTTATAAAATATTCTTATTATATTATAGTATATTGACATTCATGGATTATTATGTTCTAGCATTGTATGCCTGATGTGCCATGGGTATATTTAAAAAAATGGGTCCTTTACTTCTGTTTCATTATGATCTGGATCTTATCCATTATCCATTGAGAATGCAAAGAACATACATAGCATAACACTCGCATGTTTGTCTCCATTTACTTTTCATTGTCCTTTTTCTTTGGGTGGGGGTGGGGGGGGGGGAGAATGGATGGGGGGGGGGGACCTTAGCAAGCATGTCCTAGAAGGTGACTAATTAGTGGTGTGTTTCCATGGAAGTCAGACTGTAATTTGCCTGAAAAGTGAGGAACCAGTAGTCTGCATACAAATAAGCCATATCTGTTAGAATGTACCAGCATGCAAAACTCAGGTTCTGGAATAAGAGACCAGAGTACTAAAGTAGACCAACAGAGAGTTAGATGACCTTCCCAACCATCCTTAGAAATGTTCTTCTTAAGTATCTGTTTAAGAAGCCCTATGTAGAAATGTTAGCCCTCAAGGAAAGGCAGGGGCAGATCATGGGCATTCCCCGCCATCCAAGGAGGCTTCCATAATTCACAGCTGACACATGACACTCTGGTTCTGGGCTCACTCCTGCACATGACTGCTTAACCTCACAACCTTATTAGGCCTCCCGCTCGACACGGGCTGCGCCCTCCTGAGATCAGCCCGCAGGTTAAGGACTTTTATGACCACATGAATAGGTATATTCTTTTTCGTTGCACGTTAGACATCTTTAACTTGCCTTTAGTGTGACAGAATGAAGAATTCTGCATCAGGCATGTCTTTGTCTGTTTGGTCCAAACCTTGGGCGATTGAAGCCTCAAGATGCAGACATTAGGACTTTTTTCTCTCCTAATTTTGAGCTTGCTCGTGTGCTGTAGGATCTTTCTTTGTCGGACATTAGGGCTTAGCCAGCCGATAGACAGCGGCTGTCTTGGTGTATCTCAGCCCGGTGACGACATCGCTGAGGGTTGACAGAGGATGTACCTAGGTAGGATCTTGCTGCGAGAAACCCCCCACAGGAGATGTTACTCATCTGAGCTGCAGGTAAATCTCTTGGTCAAGGGTTGAGTCTCATCAGCACAGTGTTATCTTTACTCCACAAACTTTTAACCTAGCGTTGTCATTTATTTGTGCTTTTGGTAAGCAGACTTTACTCATGTTCACATGAGTTTTGATAAACTTTTTTTTACCCATGCGTTTGGGGCAGGCTAATGAGAGCCACAAGGACTCTAACCCTCTGGGGTCTGCCAGTTCATAGATCCCCTGACTGCTCTGTTAATTTTCATTTGAGACATTATCCGTGGCACACCACGAGGACGTGCAGCAGGAGTCTTGCATGAGGTTCGATAAAACCAGAACAGAAAAGGATTGGCACCCGAGTGACATACTGAGTATCTCCTTATACACGTCACATAGGACTAAACTTTACCTCACGCCTGTGACAGAAATCACTGCGCCGCTATAATTGGAACAGTGAGGGACATTTTGTATGATTTCTGCTGGATTCAGAAACAGAGCAGTTAATAGGCCAACCCATCTGTAGTGATTCTGGAACCTAAACTAACGACTAGCTAAAGCAACGGTCTTCTCTCTATCTAGGCAGTCATCGGAAGAGCAAACTTCTCAAGCACCAGGTTCCCCATTCTCTACGCACTTCTCGCTGAGAGTACTTAAAACTGTGATGAGTTTAAGCACTTCCAGCAAAGGAAGCTCAGAATGGGAGAGGGACTGGCTTGAGATGCTGCAAGGGACAACCATTAGTGATTCCCTCTCGCTAAGGCGTGTGCATCAACATCAAGGGAAACGGACTCCAAGGGATCGACTGTGGACAGATATACTAAGGTAGATTATTTTGTTTATCCACTTTAGTTACTATCATTATCCAATTTAGTTACTATCATTCTCCAATTTAGTTACTATCATTATCCAATTTAGTTACTATCATTATCCAATTGTGTTACTATCATTATCCAATTTAGTTACTATGATTATCCAATTTAGTTACTATCATTACTTAGCTCTTTCTACCACAGGCATCTGCTACTTTCGATCAGTTTAGTACAGGAGTGTTGGATGCTAAGAGCTGAGGCCACCCCCACCCCCCAATAAGTGGGAAGGGGGTGGAGTTGTTCCCCCTTCCCCTCTCCACTCCCATATATTTATAGACGTTCTCTTGTTATACATTTCATATAATTTCAAATATATTATTAGCTTTTGGGGGTGGGGGGGGGGGGGTGGTGGCTGTTTAGCACATAATAATTATAAAACACATCCTTCTACTTTGTTGTCGGAATGCACCCTTTCGGAACAATTTGGGATGTATTCGTCATTATACTCTGTCCTAGTCACGATAGGAGATGTCTCTTCTCTGGGTGTATTTACAGCAGGCATATCTATCGAGGATCATCTGTACTGTATCCCTGCGTTTCTTTCATTGTGATTCCATTGCTAACTTTAGGGTGATGCATGGTGAGGTCCCAATCCCTTCCACGGTGGCTAGCCATGTTCTTTATTGTGTCCCAAACATGCCTCATGTATACCATGCACTCTTTCACTTTACAAGCTGTTGATCTTTATAGATTCATCCGCATTTTTGACCGTCCCAGGATTCATGTTCTAGGGATGGGCATTCCTTTATTGTAAGATATGACTCGCACTTCACTCATCTAGTTTGGTCAGTCAGCCAAGACTTGCCCGTGGTGTGGCCACCGCAGTACACAAGTCGTATCAAGGAGCCATACATGAGCTAGATAAAGAAATAGTTGCCAAATAGGATCCTGGTCTATTGAACCTTTCATGAAGGCTTAAACCCCATGAACCCTTCACCCTAGACAGTTATAACCCTTCCCCACCTCCACACACACACACACCACCACCATCGAACAAAAGCTCTCCCAAAAAGGTATTGTTAGAAAAAGACAGCTATTTACCCTTTTTGTTTGTTAACATGGTTCAACATAATCGACTAGGGGTTGGGGAAAATCAATATTGATCATTAGACCAGAGACACTAGTGTTTTCCCAAAATAAGACATAAATTTCCAGTATAGACATTCCGGCTGATGTGATTAAATAATTTAAAAACTATTTTGCTCCTTATCAATGAAGAAATATGAAGAAAGAAATGGGAGCCATCACACTGACATCTAGCCACTTGGAACATCTTAGTGAAGCTCAGCTGAGACATGGAGGTAGGGCTTTATGCTCCTTCTTCTCTGTTCATCTTTAAAAGTGTGAATGGCACCTTGTGGTTTGATTTTCAGCTAGGCTGTGATATCTGTGCATTTCAGCCCAACACATAAGATTTCAGTCGCTGTAAATGTGGTTTGTAACTCTGAGGTGCCAGGTTCAATCCCAGCTGCTGGCAGTTTGGTAGCAGGACTGCCTTGCATTCGTTTCGACAGTGAGATCAAAAGCTGACTGTTCAGAAAAACAGTGGCAAAGTACTGAATGTAAAATTGCACTGTGAAATGACAGCCAGAAAATGCTGGAGTTGGTTCTGCAGTATCCTGAACAGGATATGCAACTAACTTTTGTTAGGGGCAGTGGGGCATTTTTTTGGGGTCTGGCATGGGGTTCTAGAACCCACATGTGGAAGGCTTTATTGTTTTTTTACTCTCCCAGTAGGAGCTACCATGGCATAGTGGTTTGATCGCTTGGCGACCAGAACAATTGTCTGGGTTGTCCTTCTTTACATTCACAGGCAGAAAGTTCTGGTTGTTCCACATCTAGACTTTAATCTTGTTTCAGAATGTAAGTTTTGCATGTACATTTGTTTTACAGATCTGGTTTATTTGTTTGTAGGCTGTTGGTTCCTTGCCTCTCAGGCAGATGCATTCAGAATTTGAAGGATACTGAATTTCAAATAGCCAAAATGCAGAAGCATTGATTTCGCAACATCCTGTAGAGAATATGCAACTAACTTTTCAACCAAAAAGATTTGCGCAAATCCACAGCTCTCAAAACTTTCAGCCAAAGCTTCTCTAAGGCATCACTGCACAGCCTTAGCAAAGTGACTGCCATAAAAACAAACTGTACTCAGTGAGTACCATCCCACTGTGGCATACCAGGAAATGAAACTGTGGACAAACTTGCTAAGAAAGGGGGAGAGCATGAACAAGAGGATAATGCAGTAATATTCTTTAAGACACACACAAAAACCATCCAGTTTATCAGAAGGGAATATAATCTGGCCAGAGATGACCACCACTATCTTGACCAATGGGGTCAGGTCATTGCCACATGACAGGGCATAACAAATTTAGCCAGCATTAGCACCGGGCTTTGTCTGAATAATTCCCCATTGTGCCCTTGTGGGCTGTGCAGACAAACTGCAGAACATGTCCCTTGTACAGCTCATTCAGAAGGGAATACTGCCTTATGAGTCAACACCATACTCTTGGTTGTAAGGAATTAAATAAGACCTCCGGAAACAGTCAGTTTTATCACAATATCAGGAAAAGATTAAAAAAAAAAAAGGTAAAGTCGGGATATGTGAACGAGCATCATTGCACACAGTTAAAAACCATAAGTACTCTGCCACCAGTGCGGACAGCTGATAAGAAACTGTCTGAATGTGTCGCTGTCCGCACGTAACTCCGTAGCTACAGCGACGTTCCTCCATTTACCCCATAGTGTCATCTCTGGTACCCATTTCCTAGAGGCTGGGTGAACCCCTGGGAACCACCCGGTTTTGAACACCGTACGTGGGCTGCAGCAAGTCGCAGCTGGATTTGAAAGCTAGTCTCGTATCTACTGAGCTAAGATAAAAAACCGAACAAAAAGTATATCAGCAAGCTTTACAATATAACAAACACAAACAAAACGTGAGCCTTCTTCAGCGCATACATAGATTAGATAATACTATACAAATACGCAATATCACTCATCTTTGTATCTTGTGGCAGCCAGGTCGATGTCAAAAAAATAGTCTGGCAAGGCACGTGGGGCCGGCAAAATAAATATCCAGGGATATGCCAGAGGCTGTCACTCTAGAATAAGATGAAACTGTATAGGCAGTTCAGCTCCTTAGGATTTAGAGGAAGCTGTGTTGGCGGTTTAGTCCACTGGGTGCCAGAGTTCCCAAAGTGTATAGAAAGCTATTCGCTAATGTTATCAAAAGTGAATGTTATCAAAAGTGAATTTTATCACAACACCCATCAGTGTGTATCAAGACAGCAATTGCAAGAAAAATAAACAGACCAAATAAAAACTGCAGAGGTAAGGTTTAAAAAAAAAAGTTTACAGGCCGGTGGTGCATCGGGCATAGAAAGCAAGACTTGTATTTTTATAGACCAGACGGCCCTCAATAGGTGATGTGGTCAACTTCAAACTGGGCACTTTTACTTCCCAGGACTTTACCTGGTACTCATTTGAGGCTGGGTCGGCCTAGGAGCCAAGATCATGTTTGAAGAATATCCGGCTTCATATGGATTTACTTAGACTTAGTCTTAGTCGAGGTTTTAACTTCACTGCAGTCGGGTTTTCCCGTACTTGCTCTGTTCCTGTGTGTCATAAACCTAACTGTCTAGGGCACGATTCCATTGGCTCTGCTATAGGCTAATGACAGGAAAACACCGTACAAACACACTCAAGCCAAACACTTGTTGCAACACACACACAATCTTTATTACCAAAGATGCAAACGAAGTGGTGGTACACCTCAGGAGGAGTAGTGCTCCTTATTCAAAACCCAGGCCGCGTCTAACTTTAAAATCGCTTAGAGGCGCCTTTACACGTTTATGAATTAAGCTCTTAGCCGCTACCACTCTCCCGTACAGTGCCAGCTCAACCCGCTATATCTCGATGCCAAAGACGTTATGGCATGCGCCAATGTGTAGGCCTAAGTGCGTCGACAGTGTTAACGCCACCAGCAAAGCATGGTCTGGCTTCTAGTTACAACTATTACTTTACATGAAACTATGAACAGAACACGTTACATCTAATCACTACGCTGGTACCTATCTTCATGTCAAAACAAACGGTCAGTCAAAAATCCACTCTCGTCCCACGTCCAGTTTCCTAGCAGTCCCCCAAGCAAGCGTGCGTTCAGCGTCCCGTCCAAAATGTGCACACCCGTGCGAAGTCCGCTCATGCTCGTTTCTACGTGTGTATGCACGTATTGAGTGTCATTAAGGGTCGCAGGGTACGATGACGAGATTCATCATCATCATCATCCTGAACTGTCCCATAGCAGGGCGAACCCTGACATCCACCCCTCCTTTTGGACAGATACTTCCTGATGACAGACGTCTACCTTACATATCTACGTCTGGAGTCAAGTATCTCTACCTGGGTATGGGATGTCTACAGGATTGTGTCTACATTCAGTTCAGTGCATCTCCTGATATCCTGCTTTCTTCCCCCAATTATTGTCACCAAACAGTCATGAAAGTTCCTATCAACATAGATTTGAGATGTTTCCTAATGAGAGTCAGTCACCTGAGAACAACGTATCTTTACATCCTTATGGGACATGTACATATACAAGGACAACACTAAACCATGAAGTTACCAATAGTATCACAACATGTCACAAGTACGCCACTACTAACCAACACTTTGTAGTCATAGAGGTTAAGACTAATTATATAATATTGTGGGTGGACTATTAACCGCCCGGGGACCCACATGAACCCAACTCCACTCTCGTGCGAGTTGTACGCCATTGAGAACATAACAATGGTCGTCATAGACATGACCCTTCTATGGTTCTAACTAAGTCATCCCGACTCCTTGACATCCCGTCGAATAATGTGTCTAAAATTACCTAGCAATACCTGCCGCTGACACATGTCATACCTCTAGACATATAGTGTAGTATATAGAAACACAAGTGTGGCCTGTACGACACATTTGCAACAATCATGGACAATGTCACCTGTAACATGAAACTTCCCCTAATGTACAAGGTTTCTATCACCTTCATATATACTCAGTGATCTCTCCTCTGGAGCGACAATCTCTTCTAACAATATTTAAGTTTCAAATATGGTTTATAAGTTTCTTATTTAAAAACAAAAACAAAATAAAATAATTAACCAAATTATTGTCAGCCAAAATCTACTACAAATTTACATAATTAACAAAACCAACGGGGAAAAAAATACAAATTATTTCAAATAATATGTTACCACGTCGTGTCCTATTGTCAAAAATATTATTTACCTACCTAGTCTCGACCTTATATAATAATTTCCTATTACATCAAAAATACTATGTGTAACTAGTTGACTATTGCGGTGCCATCCACAGAACCCAAATGTGTGGTTGACCTCTCAACAACCAACATGTCACATTTAACTTAAAATTACTCACTGAGAAATGTTAGAAATGCAAACCTGCAAAATTTCATAAGTTATAGTTTAACTTTAACGATTAGGAGAAAATGGAAAAATTACGTATTGAAAACCGAAAAAGAAAATCACCAGAGAAAAATTACATTTCCAAGCTGAAAAATCAACCCAAAAATTACATTTTAAAAATAAATAATGTGTACATCCAATTTGCAACATGAATACAAAATATTTCACAACAAGACATAGATATCAAAGATGAATCTGATGAATCAGATGTATAACCTTCAATATGTAACAAACCAAACATATTACACTATCACAATTAACACATAACATATAGAACATGTAATGGCTTAAACATAATATGTTAATTCACGATCACATAACATTGATAACATTTAACGAATAGAATATAACGTATGTTTTCAACTGAATTTATCAGAATATGATCACATTTAACATAAATTTATCGTAGTGACGTGAATATTTCTATAGTCCCCACGTGTCATCTGTCCTTTCATTCACTTTTAATTTGCATTCATTCATCAGTCATACTCTAAGTTAACGATGATTCAGTCGCTGATGTTCAGATCCAATGTAATTGACGATTCCACTTTTGTTGCCCTAAGACTTTGAATTCCAGTGTGTTTAAACGATTAAGTTGAATGCTTTCAGTGTTCAATGAGTTCAGTTTCCTTGAATTGGAATCTTCAGTTATATATTGTTCTAACGAATATTCACTTCGCCTTGAATTCTAGAATGATGCCTTTAAAATTTAGAGTGTCATATCAGATAAGTTCTTGCAACCGTAAGAGTTCCCATTATTGCTTGACGGATATACATCTAGTTTTGCCACATTTTTGGTATTTCTGCAATATGAACAGTTCTTTCCT